AGAAAAAAATGGTCGGGCTTTTTATTATTATTGAAATATTGACTAATATGAATTATGATAAGTGTGCCGTCACTATCATAATATGGTGGTACATCAGTTAAAGTTTAAGCCAAGCTTAAATGCTTAATAGAGATGAAAAAAATAAAAATAAGTGGTGTACACTGTACCTACAACGGTACTACCTACTGCTGTTGCAGTTACAGATTTGCAGTAGATACTACGTATATTGTTTAAATATTTCAATACTTAGATTCGATAGAGCTAAATTAATTTTGAACGACATAAGTTTTACGGTAGACTACCAAAAGTTCGATGTAAAAAAGTCAACGGTAAAAAAATCCGAAGCCTAAAAATTCCGGTACGGTGGTACATATTATTGGACAAAAGAAAATATGTGATTGATGCACAATTAGTATTAATATACATTTTAAATTTTGCAATTAGTATTAATATAAATTTTAATCACGGAGTTATATCTTTTTTTTTTTTATTTTTAAACAAGAGAATTGTACAATCTGTAATTTAAAGGTTTACAATAAGCACAAGTGATAAAAGAATAATATAGAAAAGACGAAATAATCACGGAGATATATCTTAAACCGTAATTTCAATTAAATTATTCACTTGACAAAATTAACAAAATATAGTCTGGTACTAACATCACACATAGAAATAATTATTGTTATATAATAATATATTTGTTGTTTTTGTATAAATAACTAATCCGATTTTTTTTATACAAGACCTGGCAGTTAAAATTATTAAATTTTTATTTTCATATAAATTATTTTAAATATTATTATGTACCGGACTTTTTTACTGCGATTCAACTATTATGGGTCAACATCATACTAGTACGAAGCGAGTTACTTTTAATCGAGTACAAATATTATGGTTTATAATAAATCACATAAACTATAGTTCCCTTTATCACTTTTCAGTGTACTATAGTACTAAGTCCGACTAGATTTGTTTGATAAAACGCAAGTTATAATTTTGTATTCATCAAATTATAGTATTGTACTAGCACTTTTCACATTTAAAACCGTATTATGCACTCTGTGGTACTGTACAATAAAACCATACTATAAAGTATATTGTGATAAAATAGTGTTGAGAGTTGTAACGGCGTATTGCGTGACAAAACTGCATAGGTATTAGATAGGTACATGTAAGTAATAAGTATGCAACTGATGAATCTAACTATATAAGGTGACATATTTTCGTTACAAGCAAAAGCGGTCGTACGCGGAAAACCAAGATTCCTACTATTCCTAAACGTGTGACATGATCGTGTTCACCGTTCACTTTTGTAGACATTCAAAAATCATGATATTATTCGAAAGACAAAAAAGTGGACCGTTAAAAACTCAGTCAAAGGTTATTTATTTAGTTCGGTTGAGACTTGCGATAAGAGCCGATATCGTCATACCGAGTCATTCGACAGGAAACGAAACAACGATAAAACGTCGGGGCGAGGCGCAGTATTGGCTGGTAAACGAGAGAACGAGACAAACAAACTGCCGAGGGAGATGGAGCGAGAGCGATAGAAAAATATTAAAAAGGAAATAATTTAACGGACTTTTGCTTGGCGGGGCGCGGCGGGGTACGTTCGTTGCGTGTGCGTTGGTGATTCACGGGCAAGCGGTGCGGATGTGGTGGGAAGCGTAGGCACCGCAATGCCGGTGTGCCGAACAGCGCGTCGTCGGTCTGCAGGCGGGTTTCGGAGCATACAACACGGGTACCGTCGGCCATTGGACGTCAATTTGTGTTTGGACGTGAACGAAGCTGCTTCGATCGCTTCTTGTCTGACATAATACAACTCAAGTTTTTTACTTCAACAATTCGTTCCTATCCAACGAAAACACTCAAACTTCAAAATGGTAAGTAAACGATATTTGTTTTAGCGCAATATCATAACATTTTGGTATTATTGTCGTCGTGGTCGTTATACGTTTTGTAAACTTCGTTTGTCAACACTTCGTCCCAACGGTCGTCGCGCCATCTTGACGCGTCCGTGTTTCCCTGTCGGTTGCCGCCTTGCCGGTGTCAACGATCGCCGCTGCCTAGGTGTATTTGTCGTCCCGCACCGGCTCTCGCTGGTGTCCTCGCCGTCACATTTTTTCCGATTTTCTTCGACCGCTTCCGGCCGACAACCGGATGGGCGTGACCGGAACTCGCACGGAAAACCGTTAACCGAGAGCGTCTTCTCTTTATGCCCGTGTACGTCATTCGTATGACGTGGCAATTTTATAAACCGGACATGACTGAATTTGATCAACCTACTTTGACCGTTTACGAAATTCTATAAATTGTCGTAATTTCACTTTTTTGGGTGGAAGTATTTTCAAGACTGAATCCCGGTTGGTTTTTTTCTGAAATCACTGAAGCGGGTCTTGTCGACGATCAGGCGTCAGCAATGGCGTTGCCATCGTCATATATTTCGCTTCTGTAGGGGGTTAGTATCTAGTACTTATATTATGAATATTTATTGTTCCTCATTCGAAAGAGTAAAGAGAAAGAAATTGTTTTTGAAAATAGGCCCCTTTTGGTGGTATATTTCTCCTAGGAAATGTTTTTGGATATCGGAATTTCAAATTATAAGATTTGCATTGAATGTGATATATCTGGGATCATTGCGATTTTAATATCGATCACTGTTTTATCTTTTATTTGAATCCTTCTACTTTTTCACAACATCTCATTTCACTAACTTTCTCTGAACACTGTTTTTAATTAATGCTGTCAAATTTGCTATTACCCAAACATCATAAGTTAAACTAAGTGACTAGATGTGAATATAGATCTTTATTGTACTTATTCTTGATAATTATTTAAATTGGTTGTATGGGTAGTTTTACTTAGGTACAGCAATTAAATTTTAAATGATTGAAAGTCATTAGAAACTGCTCAACAAATACAATTTTTAATGTTTTCTCCCATATGTAACTATTTTTCAATTAAGGCATACTGAAATAGAATTCTCCTTATTTTATCACCTACTTAATTGAACATTTTTAATCTTGAGAAGGTACATAGTTAAAATGTTCCATCTCGTTAACTAACAAATTTTGAATTATTAGTACCCCTGGTATTGAATTATATACCTATTTGACATTATACTCGTCTACATTTTCAATAACTTATTATCTAATCATGTACATTTTGTTATGTCATTAGTTCTTCAAAATTATTATCTTAACTATAAATTTTACTTACTTATTCATAGATAAAGTAAACATATTTGATGCTTCAATTGAGTTATTTTTTAACATTTAATTTTGCATAGTCAGCATTGAAATTCAATTTAGATTTAAAATATTAATGGTTGTTGTGAAGACAACTAAATATTTCTATTGGCACTACTCTTCTATTATAGGTATTATCATTGGATATTTACATAATATATGTTGGCCTCATTGTCTACTTTTTTGCTTCAAGACCTACAGCAATAGGTGATTGATCTGTATTAACATTACTACCCTATTCCGTCATATTAATTTGAATGTCTCTTTTGCAATTAATATATTATCTAACCTCAATAGATATATTTTTTTAAAATTAAACTTAAAATTTGTTCTAATAATGCAATTATTTTTATAGCGTGAATGTATCTCTGTACACGTTGGCCAAGCTGGTGTTCAAATCGGTAATGCCTGCTGGGAATTGTACTGTTTGGAACATGGAATTGCTCCAGATGGTCAAATGCCATCTGACAAGACCATTGGAGGTGGAGACGACAGCTTCAACACCTTCTTCAGCGAAACTGGCTCAGGCAAACATGTGCCAAGAGCTGTGTTCGTTGATCTCGAACCAACTGTTGTTGGTAAGTTTATTGTAAAATATACATTTTCTATTAAAGTATCTAATTCACACTTTGATTACAGATGAGGTAAGAACTGGAACATACCGCCAGTTGTTCCACCCTGAACAATTGATCACTGGTAAGGAAGATGCCGCCAACAACTACGCACGTGGACACTACACTATCGGAAAAGAGATTGTTGATGTTGTTTTGGACCGAATCAGGAAATTGGCTGATCAGTGCACTGGTCTTCAAGGTTTCCTGATCTTCCACTCTTTCGGAGGTGGTACTGGATCTGGTTTCACATCTTTGTTGATGGAAAGACTCAGCGTTGACTACGGAAAGAAGAGTAAATTAGAATTCGCCATCTACCCAGCCCCTCAAGTATCCACAGCTGTAGTTGAGCCATACAACTCCATCTTGACCACACATACAACTCTTGAACACAGTGACTGTGCATTCATGGTCGATAATGAAGCCATCTATGACATCTGCCGTCGTAATCTCGATATTGAACGTCCAACTTACACTAACTTGAATCGTCTTATTGGCCAGATTGTTTCTTCAATCACAGCTTCTCTCCGTTTCGATGGTGCCCTCAATGTTGACTTGACTGAATTCCAGACCAATTTGGTCCCATACCCCCGTATTCATTTCCCATTGGTCACCTATGCACCAGTCATCTCCGCTGAAAAGGCTTACCATGAACAATTGTCCGTATCAGAAATCACTAACGCTTGTTTTGAACCAGCCAACCAAATGGTGAAATGTGATCCACGTCATGGCAAATACATGGCTTGTTGCATGTTGTACCGTGGTGATGTTGTACCCAAAGACGTCAACGCTGCCATTGCTTCCATCAAGACCAAGAGAACAATTCAGTTTGTTGACTGGTGTCCAACTGGTTTCAAAGTTGGTATCAACTACCAACCCCCAACCGTGGTACCCGGTGGTGACTTGGCTAAAGTACAACGTGCCGTCTGCATGTTGTCCAACACTACAGCTATTGCTGAAGCTTGGGCTAGGTTGGACCACAAGTTCGACTTGATGTACGCCAAACGTGCTTTCGTCCATTGGTATGTTGGAGAAGGTATGGAAGAAGGAGAATTCTCTGAAGCTCGTGAGGATTTGGCTGCTCTAGAGAAAGATTACGAAGAGGTTGGCATGGACTCCGTCGAAGGCGAAGGCGAAGGTGGTGAAGAATACTAAACATCGAAGTTCCAAACAACCCATGCTTGATTTTACAACTTCAAAAATTAAATTAACCTCAGTATTTTTTTTTTATATGGACATTTTTAGACATTTTATTATTTAAAAGAAAGCAAACTCAAATGAAATCTTTTTGTTTTTATTTCTTAACAATATTTATCCCGTTCCTTACAACTTTATAATTTCTACCTATATTACTATATGTATTTGTACAGTTGTTGCTTGAAGGTGGATTTAACCTTTCGGGTACATTTTCTTGAGTGATACATTTGGTAGGTATCCAATTCCATCAAAACTTTCAAAATATTGATCGACCATTTTGTGATTGATCTAAAATGTAGTTTTATTTTGGATATAATTATTATTTTTAGTAGAAAGTTAGAGACTTATATTTATTTTACCTTCATATTTTGTAATTGAACTATAATTTTATCTTGATCTAATTTCATCAATTCGCCATGATTTTCTACTAAAATTAGATATTCTGGTTCTTTGGTGAGATCCTGATAAAATAAAAATATTAGGAAATATTCAAATAGTTAATGACGGTAACAATTTGTTTTGTTTATTAATATAAAAATGCTAAGTATCAATCTACTGAAGGGGTCCTATATTAATATTGGTTGACAGCTATACAAAAACAAATCGGGTTGAAGCATGTATTATTATATTTATTATTTTTGTGGAAAACTGAAATGCAATGAACTTATAGAAATTGCATGTTTTTAATAGTTGTGAAATGCCGGTTAGGTAGGGTGATTTAAATCTTACTTAAACATCGTTTAAACCACTGGAGTAGGATGAAAGCATCCGATAGTGGGGTTATTCATGTGCGCTGAAGGAGTGTAAGAGGGACAGAGCCCATTCTTTCTTGAAGAGCGAAATATAATTACGATGTTGGTAAGTTTTTAACTTAATAAACAGCTTGGAACTTAATGCTCTAAAAATGATGAAATATGTGCATACTTATTTACTATAAAAGCTTTTACTATGTAATATGCGGTACGATATGCAGTTATTTTTAAAATAAACATGTAGGACTTAGGTATTTATGTATTTCAATGACCTAAATTATTGATAATTATTTTTTAATAAGATGTGTACATTTTTTATTTGTACATTTTGTTAGTAGGAGTTAGTAGAAAATTTTTTCGATAATTCACAGTCCAAAATATAAAATTAAAAATTATCAATTACCTAATACAGCAAATATCAAATGTTATTATGCATTGAATTTTCTTTCCGAATCGATGTAATTTACAATATTTTCAAAACAATACTTTAGAATCAATATTAAAAACATTTCCACTAAACTTAGCCACGTATGTGAATGCAGAATGATCATTTAAGGATGTTTTCTCTTTAGACATTAAGAGGACGTGATACCTGCATGTGTTGTCTCTGTCTTACAAGTGGGTAACATAGCAAATTTTACGCTCAGCAGAACACGTGTAGCTCCGTTAGTTTAAAAATTAGTGCAAATTGACCTCTTATAAAATCTAAAGGTAAGATTATTATCTAGGCAACCTCATAGGTTTTTTATTATATTTTAATTTTAACGCGAGTTATGAGTATTTTAAAATTGTAAATTTTTTATACATCTTAAAATCTTTAAATATGCAACATTATGTAAAGTTAGTCAAACATGCAACACATTTTTGTATTTAGATTATATGTAGGTACTATGAAACGAATTTATATCAGATCAGATTTTTAATATGTAGCTTCCTAAGAAATATGTAAATGCATAAAGTTCCGAGCTTCAATAATAAACGATGTTGTGGCACGAGGGGGGATGGACGACCCGCAAGGATGAAGTGCTCCGCTGTCGAGCAACTTAAATGTACATTTGTTTTGTTTTGTTTGAATGTATTATATAATGCTACTAATAACTGATCAAATGAATAGTTCAGTTTTGGATTATATGCTGTAGTAATAAGTGGGGCATGGTGCTAGTAATTGCGTATTCAATAGCCCAGCCCAGAGGGGTTGGGTTTTGGAAATTCTTGACCAGTGAATTTATCTTACAATTTTATTTGACTTGTTAATTACTATTAATTTGAGGATTCATGTACTAAACTCACTGTCTTATCAATGTTCCATCCAACAATGATGCCAGGTATCATGGCATGTATCAATACCACGTTTCCAATACTGAATTCTAAATGGGGTGGTCTAAAATTTCGAATTAAATTTTCTGGCACTTCTTGTTCTTCAAATGGTTCTGATAATCCCAAATAGTCATATGTACTTTGCAGGTAATAGTCTTGAAAATATTGAGTATACTTATAAGTTATTTAAATTAAACAGCAAGCAAATGTATACTAGATTTGTGATTAAGAATAACATATATTTACAATATTATAATAAATAATCAAATAATATTTTTTTTATTTTGTAGTATTAGATTCTGAGCGGAGCTATGAATGTATTGATTTTAGAACAATGTATGTTTTAAAAATAAATGTGATATCATCTTTTGGAGCAGCTTAACATTTTCAACTTCATTTTATTTTCTGGTAGTAGGTAGAGCGAATCTAGTTATTACTTATTGGTACCTACTTGGCTACTTTGGGTGGTAAAAAATAAAACATTTCCAGTACGTTTCTTTATAATTGGAAAAACGGTCATTTTTAATCAAAAGTGGTTTTTGACAAAATCGATTTTTTTATTTTGATGTAGGTTATCCAAAAACGAATAATCGTAGATATACTTGAATTTTTCACCAAATGTCTATATTAGCATTTTCTGTGCTTTATACCTATAATCACGAAAATAGTTTTACTCTTTTTGAGCTATTTATATACATTTACAATTTTTTATTTTTTTTTCAAATCTTTAAATTTTTTTTGCTTTGTCAAAAAGCTTGAAAATTGAGTACAATGTTTCTCATAAGTTATTATTACTAAATTATTAAAAAAAGAGCAAAATGTTATTTTATTTCAAAAATGTTTTTGGGGGCTTGAAAGGTCAACGTTTTGATTATCTCGCTTTGTTCGAAAACTGTTACTAATATATTAGGTGAATTATACTGTTATAGTGTTTAGTTTATACAAATACATTATAATATTATATGCAGTGGTCGCCGCTTATTAGACTCACTTTGTTACCAGACCATGGAGACCATTCTGAATGAGTTAACGCAAAAGGCCAATAAAAATTTAAAATAATTACTAATAAATATGTACTAATTATTTACTTTAAAAGTATTTATTAAGATTTCGGCTGTATGTAATTAAATGTATGATTGTAAAAATAATGTTGGAGTACGTATGAATAGATGAAAATGTTGTTTAATTAAAAATAAAGTAGTAAAATATTGTAATAGTTAGGTACCTAATACATTTTTGATAAAAATCCATCTAGAGTTGATTGGATTTTTCATTCTCAGGTTCAAAATGACCTCATTAATCTGTGTGCAAGTCTAATAGGCGATTTTTTTGCTGTTTGTTAGTATACGTGAAAATCGGGACCAGTTGTTTTAAGTCCAATGGGCGAATGAGTCAATTAACCGTGAGTTCAATAATTTCTGACCATTGTATAATAAATATAACTTTATATAACTGTCTATTCTTTATATTTTTTGAATTGTTCATGTGGAGATAAAAATAAAACAATTGACAATTTATCATAATTTTACAGCACCCATGATGGCACGATGCATTTACCCTAATTAAAAAAAAAATGTTGTCGAAATTCCAACTTCAGTCTTTCATACAAAATTAGATAGATACATTAAATACACTATGATATTTAAATCAAATATTTACTCAATTTTTACAAGAACTTGAAAAACACGTTTAAAGACTTTAAAAAAAATAAATTTGAAAAATGGGTCAATTTACTTTTATACCAAAAATCATACTTTCAACTTTTTTTTTAATGTTCACTAAAAACAAATTACGAGGAACTTTCTATTCAATTTTTAAGTTTTTCACCGAGAACAATTGTTTATCGTCAACCATTAAAAAAAAATTCCAAATTTTCTTACGTCTATAAATAGCTCAAAAATATTCAAAATATTTAGAAAATAAAGTGTTAAACAGTTATGAAGAAATACAATTTAAACTTTTTTTTTTTTTTCGTGGTATCGAGAACCGGAGTGGGGACTGCTTTCGCATTACGTCCACAAACTTTCGCATTACGTCCACAAGCTTTCGCATTACGTCCACAAAATTCGCATTACGTCCACCTTTCGCATTACGTCCACAATACAATTTAAACTGTAAATAGTATTAAGTTGGCCAATGGTCTTTTCAGTTTTCACGCAAAAACAACGAGTCAACACTAACCACAAAAAAAATTAAAAATTAATATAGCTTTTAACCAACTATAAATAGTAGCAACTGTCGATTACGCCGACTACAGTCTACACTAAAATTTACAGTTGTCAGCTGCAGGCTGTGTAATTTAACCATAAATAATATTATAATAATATATATAATATAATATTATCGTTATATTATCGTAGTAGTGCAGCCAGCGCAATTGTAGAATCATGAAGATCTGTGTCTAGTTTAGTAGTTTATAGAAAACTTAAATATTTTAATTGAAAAAAAAATTGTCAATCAAACTTGTTGGATAAAAGGGAACCCACGACACAAATGTAGCTGATTTGCATATCCATAACGCCGTGTGATAAACTTTTTATTATTGAACAACCACAAATTACCTTAAAATGGAAATAAATAATAATTATATACGTAATGGTGAAAAGTTTCAAGTCGCGATTGCTACTGTATAACGATAACAACTATAATCGGTATTTTTCATTTAAATATTCAATTTTATCAAATTACAAATGACTATGAAAAAAGTTGTATCCAATGCATTTTCAGAATTTTTAAATTGCTTTAAGAATAACTTATGAGGAACCCTGTATTCATTTTTCAAGCTTTGTGATATTTGAAAAAAAAACTAAAAATAGTAGATGATTTCAAGTCTATAAATTACAAAAGAAGAGCCAAAATATTTAAAAAATTTCAAGTGTCTATGGTTTAAATTACAAATAAATAAAAAGTAGAATTGATTTTTCTCGTTCTTTCGATCATTTTCAAAAGTAGGTACTGGGTATTTTTTACTTTTGACTAAAAAAAAGTATCAACTAGATGTAGGCAAAAGACGATGACAAATATAACTATCACAAGAGGAAGACCAATATACATTCATTTCTCAACTCGGAATCTGAAGTAAGTCTTCTACAAGGGATCTTAAACCTATCTTATTTCGCCTTATATTAATTAATGCTGTTAATCCGCGGTATGACTGAATCATGTGACGTGATCAATAATAATATTCAGAATATCATTGTTAATACCGCCACCGGGTTTAATGATTGAGGAGTGTTAATTTTAGTAGTCACAAATCGTTTTCACGATAATGGGCGGCCTATAGCTGAGTATGTTCTATATTGAAACTGTTGGTGTCATTAAATTTACAATTTACAGAACGAAAGTGGAAAACCGCCTGACAAGAATATACCAAATTTCAGATAACATTTTCAGAAATTATTCATGGGAATCAAACACTTACTCGTGGTGCTGACACATCCGGTAACGTAGTCGCTAGACAGCTGCAGAAGGTCATCCGTTAAGTTTTTCACGATTTCCGATACCAAGTGTCTGAAGTCTTGGTTGTACTTCATCAAGTACAACTGCAATGGCACAGCTACCAACAACAGCGTAAATCCAATGACGTGTCTTATTTGCATGATGTAGCTGAAGTAAGTACTTATATTAAAGTACCGATTGACTCTAACTCAGTTCTGCTGCACTGGTCATCGGGGTCCTACCTATCTCGGCGACCTCAAATGTCAGACTGCGGCCGATGACGATGGTTTTTGTTTTAGTTTTTAAACGGTTTTTAATCATATAATGGTATAACGCGTGCAGGTATTTTGAGATTAAAACTAAATCGAAATGAATGTATAAACTATGATGATTATCGTTTTGTGAAAATATTTGAGCCTTGCACTCCGAGTGAAACGAAATACCTATATTGAAATCACGTAAACTCTTAATAAAGAAAATAATAATATAATAATGTACAGTGCTACGATCAAATAATGATACGAAAGTCGGTTATATGTTTTTATTTTTCACACCTCTTCCATTGGTTTGCTGTAGACACAGATGTTTTCTATTGTGTATATACAGTATATTGTGTATAGCAGTATACACGCGTGGTGTAGGTTATTTATACAGGCTGATTATTTTAACAGTAATTCAATTATTGAACACCCATTATCTAGAAAGGTATAATAACATGTAAAAATGAATTTTTTTATTTCTTACATAATAATAAAGCTATAAATTTGATAAAATCTCTTACTATTTCATTGTTATTACGAGTAGTTTTTATAATTTTTTCAAATGCTACCTTTATGTACAATTTTAACTTCATATTTCAAAGCCTGCAAATTGTTGTGGCAAATTGTCCTACCTAATTATTAGTGCACTGATTTCCATGATACCTCGTAAACCTTAGGGAGGGTCTGGCACCAAAGTCTTCTTTTTAAATTAAACCAGATCTTATCTACATCATGTCACATATATAGGATCATACCTATCAAATCCTATGTTATTGAATGTACTTCTGCTATTCGTGTTTAATCAGACCAATCCCGATCTTATATTCAAGTAAAATTCAATGTCTTATAGATATTTTCAGGTCAACATATTACTAAGTCGGATATCTAAACAAATAACGATATTTTAAGTTATTTTGCTGTAATTTAAAAAATATTAATTGTAATTCGCAAGAACTTCAGAGGACGCTACACCCACATGTGTTGTCTTCGTTGCACACATTTTCAAAATATTAAAGACTAATTTTAAGCAATTATAATATCATAATACTTCGTGTCAACGAAATACGAATCCACCATTGACATAATTCTACGGTACATTGGTACCTATTGATTTATAAGTCAATACAAATAATATGACATTGTCATATATACAATTTTTTCATAATAATTGTCGATGCTTTCTTTTAATCTAAACTGTAGTAGTATCTACCTACCGTACTAATAATAGACAAATAAATTACTAAAAGTACCTAACACAAATAAATTATTAAATATAATTTATAAATATATATAGTCTGAAGACCACTGCCTCTGTTCAGAATCGTTTTTAGTACCATATGCAATGATTTGATTGATTTATTATTGAACTTAAATTTGATTACCGTTTAGTCATTTTCATATGTCTTACTGTTTGTATATGTTGTATTACACAAGGATCGCCGTTCATTTTCTACTTTAATTTCAAATATTTTGGAAAATAAAATTCTTCATTCTGTGGAAAAAACATTATCCCTAAATTCCAAAATGAAACTTCTCAACTGACTAATTTGTGTTTTTTTTTCTTTTGGCATGTTATGCCACAAATACGAGTCCTAAATACAAAAAGTAACGAGTACAAATTCGAACACCACAACGATTGACGATCATGTACAAGATAACAATCGTAATCCGTCGATCACTATGTACTGGCAAACAAAATAATACTGTAAAAAACAGATTAAATAAAAATAATATTGTCCTCTGAGCTAAAAATAAAATGGGTTCCCCTTAACGCTATTGATTATCGCCTTATCGGTATATTGCCGATAAAATCATGTAGATAAAATTAATTTACTAAAAAATTGATTTAAGAGTAAATAATCAAAAATTATTTTAAAATATGCAACAAAAAATCAATAAATCTTGAAAATATGTATTTGTAGAAAAAAATTCCAAAATATGCAAAAATATGCACAATAAACTTTTAAACTTTAACTCCAAACACCACAACACAAATTTGTACCGGATCAGATTTATTTAATTTACTCCCGAACAAATATGCAAATGCATTAAGTCCCGAGCCCTGCTTATCATACAACATGTTGACTTCTCTGAGTTTTTCAAGAATTTAAAATCTTTAAATAGATAGTTTTCGAGACAATGAGTGACTACTGTTGAAAAATAATCACCCAGTATACATTTACCTACAAGCTGTTTTTCGGTTGACTTTTTTTATTACGAAAGAGACTAAAATAATTATGATACGTATTAATTAACATTATAGACTATAATCATGAGTCATGACATTTTCATATTCTTACATTTAATACCACAATTTATTATTATATTGAAAACACACAACACACATGCGTTGTTATTATCTATATAAATATTATGGTTGTATCCTAATAAATAATTGTAATAGTAACGATTTAAAAAACAATTTGTATGTATAAATTAATCTGATGTAAATACAATGTTAGGCGTTAGCCTAATGTAAGCTTTAATAACTTTGTAGGCTTGTATAGCTGATGCTCAAATTCAAATGTAGTAACAATATTAATAATGATTAAAATATAATATTGATGATGTATTATTGTTGATGTTGCATCACTATTTATAGTCTGTAGATGCGTGTGATTATGCATATGAATCGTATAATCAATAGTGAAATTTAGGTTGAGTATGTCGGCGATGATGACGCCGCCCGAGTGTCAGTTCAATAGGATGTTTTTCATGTCCTGAAGGATTTCTAACTGTTGCAAAAGTCCTGAAAAGCATACAAAAATAAAAAAGTTACAATGGGGCAATAACATAACATTATTATTACATTGTGTAATAATTTATAGTGTTTAAGTATTAGATTACGGAATGATACACTGACACAGTATAAAATCATTAATCAGCCGCACTATTATAAGAGGGGAAGAAGTGTGCTATTTATTATTGAGCACCTCTAGGATTCAAGCAGACAGCAGTTAAGCACATTCAAGTCCTGGAATCGTATATGGTTTTGTTTTGAAGTATTGTTATAGGAGCTTGGTATACGAATGTTTATTAATTTTAGCAACTCCAGAATTTCGATTTACTTCAATACGTATAAGTATAATACCTAATGTAAGTGAATAATAATTAAACTTTTAAAATATTTAAATAAATATCACGTTATAATTCATTAGGTTTGTAGGAAAAACAAATGCGTACAATTTATTTTTTGTTGAGGTAAATGGTAAACAAAAAACTAAAAAGTAACTTAAACGTTTTAATCATTGTGCATATATAATGAAGTAATAATTATTTGTTAAGAATCAAAATATCTATAAGATATTGATTAAAAAAATGTATTGTCTCGTCTTTTAAAAAAAATTGTTTGGAGGTAGTATTTTTTTAAAGAGCTTAGTTTTAATTATTCACCATAGGCTAGACTCATCGCCATAGTCCTTTCTAATAATACAGTCATAGAAGATAGGCTACACATAAAACTTACCTATTCGTGTAAACTATATATACCAAACAGTATATGTATCAATGTATGATAGTCGTGGATGCTAAATGGATAGACATTTTAATTTATTGACTTTTGTATTGATAGGCTATAGGCCACTAGGCCATGTGGTCTGCAACTTTATTGGACTCGTGAGTCGTGACTCATTTTAGTTATCATTTATTTACCGGTTGGTAATGAAAAAAAAAATTGATTGATCAATATTTTTTGTACGTGTAAAACTGAACCAATTTTTAAATGTATTATTATCATTATTACGGTCATTGAATTATTGCTTCAGAATACAATCGAAGGCAATATTCTAGAGAAAAATAAATTTTATAACGATTTAAAAAGAAAATTATCTATACTAAATGTTTCCATATCTACGGGCTACGGCAGTACTAAAATAGAAGGTACAGTTGTAGCTTCCTGCTGTTTATTTTGAATACACGCTTTTGTATCTCTTCGTATTTCTCATAATTTTTATAGGCAATCTAAACAGGTTAATCTAGTAAAATAGAGATGGGTACAATTTTTGTATTTGCACTGTTGTATAATTGAGATTTAGATGTATTATATAAAGACGAATACAAATGTAACGGTTGTCGATTGTATGTATTATATAAATTATAATTTGAAGTGCTCGCACAGCAGTGTATAGGTAGAGATTAAATTCATCATTATTTATGCGAATAATAGCCATTTATAATACATCGTATAAATCGTTGATCAATTGTAATTTATTATTTATAAATTATAAGCTATAATTAATATTTGTTTATATTTTATTTTTATTCGATTCATGCAATGTTTTAGAGACGTGAAAGTACCAACAATATTTTTTTTATAGTTTAACAATGAGGAACTGAATTAGGATTCTATTACGTTTTAAACGTTTTAAACGAATTTGACTGTTAAGAGTTGATACGCACATAATATAAGCTGTGCCGAAATAATGTGTAGGTATTTGTTTTATGCGATTTGGTTACAAAAACGATCTTAATTCTTAATGCGTATATTATTATTTGAAATGTATTGTGTTATGACTTTATGAGAACTACGCAATTTCAAATTTAAATAGTTACATCGATATAGTTAGGTACAACAGGTACGTATAAAATATATTATTTATATGTTTTACATAATCTGTGGTGTTGTATAGGTACCTACATTGCGCACTAGCAGTTCAAACATTATTAAGTAAATAAAATCGGTTTAGATGAAATGTATTAGGTAGGTACATGAATATGAATGTGTTATAGTTTATTTGTTTGAACAATCACCAGGAATTGGATTATTAACTATTTTTATTTTTAATCGTGTTTATAAGTTTAAATCATGTCGATTTTGTGCACCACGCACCGGTAGGTATTTAAAGATGTAATAAAAACAAATCGATTAGATACCTAAACGCTATACAAATGCAAAATTTAACAATATACAAACTATCGAAAAAATGATTGCTTCCTTAGAAAAACTCTACTCAGAATAACTAAACTAATGCATTTATTAATTTTTATGATAGGTTATCCATAACCATGCCTAAAATATTAGATTGTGAGCGTGCAGCTTACTCTTACTGTCTTATTTATATTTATCATGTCTTCAAAAGTAGGGTACACTTAGTAACTTAGTTCATATATTACTCAGTGCCCTATTTATATTTTTGAATTTTGTTTGTGGGACATGAAATTAGACTGTTGTATCATCAATTTCTACAACTTACAGTTTTTTAACTCTTGTATTTTGCGCATGCTCAATAACTTAACTTTTTTTGGGTACGCTGTTTTCGAGGACACACGCGCGGTTTAGTCGAAGCATCCGCGCATACCTGTACTGGATTTTTAAAATTTTTATTTGCTCAGTCAATTATACGGTGCAGAGGAAATGGAAATCGTTTAAACCGGTTAGTCGGTAATTGATACCCACTTTTTTTTATTCGTTCTCTTAAAACAAAAGCCATCCAATGTACGAAAAGGCTACCTTTATAATAAAGTGTATGTGACGATTTAAATATTTTAACACAACTGCACATTTTATTCAGTATTACATAATACGTGTTATATATGATGGGTAAATACTACATACATTACAGGAAATAGGAATATTATTACGAATTCGTATATACTCAGTTAGAAATCTAGTAAATAATGAACTTCTGACATCGTAGCTGGTCCTTTACTCCTTTCACTTCAAATAGGGTACCTATAGCTACCAAAAACTTTTTCATATTGCATGAATTGGTTGCAGGTTGTTAGAGTAAAGACTAAGGTCAATTTCTCAAATAATCGAAACGTCGTATGTATAGTGAGTTTGAATATTATTAGATTATTGCTAAGTTTCATCTTTTAAGAGGTATTGCAATGTTTACTACATCAGTCTAAATAGCTGTCACTTATACTATATGTGAATGGTCCTTCGCCTAATTTATATGAATATAAATATTAAAAATACACATTATAATTCATGTAATATAATTATATGACAATGATAGTTATAAGTTCATAAGTTTATGCAGATCTTCTCGTGAAGTCTTCACACATACGAGTAGAGAATTTAAAAAAATTACACAATTTTAGTATTGAAACAAACATGATTTAAGAAATATCTATTTGTATATGTAAAATATATGTAAAAAAATCTATTGTGTCCTTCGTTACTTCTCAGCTAAAATATACCTAACAAACAAAAGCATAAACTTTACGTCTTGCAATTTGTTAATTGTTATGACTTATATTATAATATATGAGTTACAAATTTAAAAGTACACAATAAAAATAAATGACAATACATTTTAATTCATAACATAATATGAAATCAGTATTTATGAATATCATAACTGTACATGTTATTTGTAATTGGTATATTCTACTTGTAAATATAATAATGATAATTATACGCATGGTAAAATATTAAAACAAAACTCGATGTCTATATAGCATATTTACCTGGCTAGCTATAATCTATAGGTATAGTAAAATATGCTATATTCAGATGTTCCGAGTATTCTATTAAGTTATACAATCAAACTATATAGGTCCCTAGCTTTAACTACGCATAACTCAGAACATAAAAGACATTTACTGGATAGTTAACACACTCGAACGAGCGAAAAATAATAATTGAGTAATGGCTCATGAAATCAACAAACAGGCATGAGTTATTTAAATATAATTAATTTATTTAACTTTATATTTCTTACGTGTTCCCATCGTAGATAGATCTAATATAGTATTATATTCTATACATAACAGGTACATCGTATTACAGTACAACTCGCTTAAGAAATTAAGACACTCTTCAAAGGATCAGCCGAAAAGAGCGTCTATGCGGAAAAGCATTTTAAGTGACTTTTATTGTGTATAATTTTCTAAGAAATATTAATTATTTTAGTCGTAATGTATTATATTGTATTCGTAAAAATTATTAAAACAGTCAACCATTTCGAAATTGTGGGTGTCTGTTTGAGGTTTGAACGGTCACATCAAATTAAATAGAGCCACTGATGGTAGGCTAGAATAGTACCACACTCACATCAATTGACACATACAAATTTTATAACAATATATGTACTAATGGAGTGTATAAGAAAGTTTTAAGGCTATTGTGCAGTATAAAACGCATGCAAAAAGAGTTTTGTTAAAAAAGCACTTACAATATTTCAGAAGCATGCCTAGAATTTTATTTTGGAGCTAATTTTAAATTTGAGATACTTAAGTAGATATCTAACTCTGCAAAACTATGAAAATATAAATAGTACTAGCATTTAAAAAAACGAAATATTATTAAATTAAATGATATTATGCGTTTTTAAAAACAACAATTAACAATATACATATACACAAACTATGTGTAATGCTGTATATATATAAGATGTATAACCACTAAAGGTTTAGTTATATATTTTGTATATTTTAATTTTTATTGCTGTATGATACTAAAATGGTGAAGTTATTATTAAAATGTTACCCTTTATATATTTTAGTATCACACATTAATTAAAATAAGAAAGCAATTATTATAAATACCAAATCAGCTATTTTGAATCTATCAAAAATAATTTTAAATAATTTTAAATGATTTAAAATTAAAATTTTATGTTGGTAAAATATTTATCAATTATTTTACTTGTTACTTAAAAGTAGACATGTATGCATTACATACATTGTGATATTATACAATTATACATGTAAAATATGTTGTACATAAACTTTATCTATGAATATATTATAAAATAGGAACTTCAAAGTTCAAGCGCACCTTCTTCTTTCATGGAGACCAAATTTTTCGCCACGTAGAACCCTTGCTTGAAGTGTTTTTCATTATCCGCGGCGCACTCCACATTGGTTCTCTCAATGATTTCTTCCAGCCGACAGGTTTTAGCCCGTTCCGCATCCAAATCATTCAACAGCCTTTCCTGTAAGCATTATGATCGTCATTCCCATCGTCCATTTCATCTGAACTTCCATCGTTATTAGTATCTATCGATTTGGTTTATACTTACACGGGTTTCTATAAGTTTAGCGTTTTCGGCCATAACCGCCAGTTCACGCTGTTGGGCTGCCACTAGCTGTCCCGCAAATTCCTGCCTAGTGGACACGGCGGCTCGGTACCTATCCTCCTTGTCGGCCAGTTCGTTTTCCAACGCGGTTAGTTCTGACCGGAATTTTCTTTGGTCCTGCAAAAACACACGATTATTTGAAGTCGAATAATTTCATGAAAATGTAAAACCTGAAATCCTTTGATTTCGATTGTATTGTCTATAACCAGTTTTCATAAAAACCCGAAATTAAAAAATAAACACCAAAATACGAATTTTGGTTTTCAATGTGGACTTTATTCTATAGGACCAACTCCTCTCTTAAATCAGGTATTCTAAAAAAAATCTCGTCTCAATAAAACAATACTATACCTAGTTAATAACTTTACACACTACATAGTACATTCACCGTTAGATACGATTTTATAAAAATTGAAAAATTACCTCGGATTTCTTAAACATTGTATACATTTAGCATTATATCAGGTATATTCTATAGTTGATTGAAGAATTTCCTATAAAGCTTAGCCCATAGACGAGAGGTGTTATTACTTATTTTCCACTGCAAAATATGTGCCGTTTACTCAGTTATAGTATTATACGAAACATCGTAGTATTGCAGACTGTTGGGTCCCAAACTAGTCAAAAGACTAGATTAACGTCAAATAATTGTTTTTAAATCGGTACTATAACCGTGATCGGTAAACGAGTGTTCGTAGAACACGAGTGCCCGCAGCAATATGAACCAACAATAGGGGGAAAGGGCAAAACCAAAAGTCAATAAGGCACATGTTTTATTTTTTTTACAAGTGATACAAAAATGTATACTAACTAAAATCGTGTGGGGCCATGCTTCCCCCTTAAGGGCCTCGCAGCGGGACCCCTTGTCGCGGAAATGTCATTCACGTCTTTTATGTAGCACTTGTTGAAAATTATAAAATTATTGACACGTTAATACCTACGTTAAATACATACTTCAAGTTTGGTCTTTTCTTGCTCTTCACGGAAATGCGATTCAAGTTCTTCGAAAAGTTTTTGCATCTGAAAATCACATGATACACGACGGTTTTATAATTTATAATTTATTATTCTCGGTGATTTTCACGCATTACTGTGGTCCGGTATAACACAGGCGATAAATTTATAAGCGCATAGATGCCTAGATATAATTGATAGTACTAGATAAGTATACAGGATGATTCACCGAGCATTGTCTCTACTCTCTTTTTCTTCAATAATGCAGTTTGGAATTTTTATACATACACCCAAGAATACCCAGATTTTCAATGTATTGAGATTATTGTATTATCTTCTTAAGTCCACAAGATATACAAAATTCTGTTTTTCAAATGAAAACTTTTTTGTTGTAAATTATTTAGCTGGTAATTTAGCTCTATTAAAAATTAAAATTCGTACTATTAGTTTTTGAGTCATTTAATTTGGTATACAAAGGATAAAAAGCCCATGATGATAGGTTTGGAGGATATGGGGGTTGGAAAATGTTAGTGATTACTTAATATTAGTCTATCGACACTTATAATTTGTAAAATGACCCAAGCTAGAACGAAGCTACTTAGCTACATCAATACCAAATCAAATATTTCATCTAGCTTATATTTTTGTAAAACCGTTATTAAGGATTATTATTATCCTTATTATGTTGGTACATTTTAGTAACGGAAAAACTACTCGTTTAAATTTTGAATTAAGTGTATTAACTTTTCGAGAAAAATTATTTGCTAAATAATTTATAGTAGAAAATAGAGGGGGGGGGAGTGGGATCTCATTTGAAAAACTGAATTATTGTATCGCCACAAAGCACTCCTTAAGTATAGACACAAAACTCAATAATTCGAAAATATGGTATTTAAGAATATTTAATAATTCCATAAATCAGAATTTGATTAAATGTATTATTAAAGAAATTGTGGGTGAGCATATTGGTGAATCATCTTGTACATCAATAATATACGTTGTTTTGGTGTTGGATCTCTCTGCTCTGCAGCATCTCTTCCAGCTCTCTGTCACGTTCAACAATCTTTATCAGGTCCATGTTGAGCGCCCTGAGAAACGCTTCGACGCGGCCCACCGAGACCGCACTGTCTGGTTCCATCTGAGAGGCTGCCTTGCATATGTTCTCTAAATGTCCTACGCTCCTGTCAAAAGCACGCTGATTGTTAATAATCCCTCAGTCGGCGCATGTCATAATGTGACATCGACTATTTACAGCCATCAGATCCATTTATAACTAAACTGATTAGTGATTGGTCATTCATTGGATTACTCATTACTCCGTATAAATGTGTCATAATGTATTTATAAGTCTAGACTGAGCTAATACAATAAAGTACATATTATATAGGTACTTTTAACTACCGAGTTTACTGTGGGTTTGAAACAAGGTTTTTAGATATTTGATATAATGACTTCAAAGTTTTTAAAAAACACTTAAATTCAACCGAAAAAACGACAGTTTAGTGATAAAAGAATCACCTTGTAAAATACCAATCTACACGCGCGTATTGAACATTTATTCGCATGCGTTGTCTCCGTTTGTAAAAACATAACGCGATTTAAAATTAGAACGTATTGACCCATCATCAAACTTAAAGTTCAGAATATTATGTAAAGTATACCTCAAAGGCTTTTATTGATATTTAAATTTTAAAGCGAATCAAGGTCACTTTAAAAATATAGGTAATGTTTACATACTATAGATAGTTATAATCAAAATTAAAATCCTATGACGTGTCCTAAATACTATTCTTATTGTACAATTTGACGATAGTACAATTTACTCCAATATTAAATCTAATAACCCAAAATAGATTTTTCTGAACGCAAATGTGGTACCTATATAATTGTACGTCTGTAAGACGGAGACAACACCCTTCGTTTCAGCGTGCTCTTAATTACTTACAATTTTATCATGTTCGTGTCTTTAATGGTTTGCAAAAGTGTTTGGAGGTCTTCTGTGTAAGAACATTTGAACGAAACCACGTTTTGCTGCTCCTTCCATCGATTACTCCTGAAATTCATTGGCGCCGTGTCTTCTGTGTGCAAATTTATAATATGATATTATATATCATTAAGATATGTATATTGCATAATGCACTTATAAACATGTTTCAATTAATAAAATGTTTGTCATTATATATTTCAAGCTGATGATTATGAAGTATGGTTTCAAGCAGTGCTTGGAAGGAACACGATCAGAGGAACTTAACGGGAACATAGTTCTTTTTTCATGCGAAGGAACATATTGGAATTTCATTAATTTTTTTAGAGAAACATGAACGATTTTTTAAAAATGTAGTCAATATAATGAGCAATAGATAAATAATTAGACCTATATAAGACAATATACGATAATATTAAAAATGTTTACTAAAGTCACTTCGGTCTAATCTTCCTTACAAAAATTCAATTAAAAAATGTATTACTTCAAATTATATTAATAAAATCTTAAAATTATTGAAGAAAGAATAATATTCTTTATTATTAAGGAATTTTTTTTTGATGAAGAAATAAAATGGAAAACAAAAATAAATGTAAATATAAAAAGATTAAGAAAGCTTTTTTATGTGTTCAAAGAGTTAAACTGATAATAGATTTATCCACTTAAAGTAATGTATATTTTGCTTTGGTTCAGTCGGGTTTGTCATATGGCATAATACTGTGGGGCTCAGCGTACCTTTCTGCTATCGAATCATTTAGAGTTATACATAGAAACTATATAAGAATCGCATTAAGAATAAGCTATAATAATATAAAAACGTCACAAATTTATTGTTCAATTATTCAATTACATGCTGAATGCTGATATACCTACATAATCAAAGTAAAAATATTTGTTTAATTAAAATTTTTGAAGGAAGAAGAGAAGGATCCCTCAAGATCCCCGAGTACAATACTTCTACTTGTCAGAATTATAAACTTTTTTACTCTAATTAATTTATTGTAATGTTTTTTTCATCATGCTATATTGCTTGGTTTTGTAGTAGGTATTTAAATAATTAAACTTGTCTTTGTCTCATAATATTTATGTTAGAAGACACCCCTACAGTAGCTACTGTAGTCTCACCACAAGCTTGCCTAAAGAGAGTGGTAATCAACTCTTGTATATACTGTCTAAATGTTAAAATTATTATATTTTATTACTTTGATGAGTTGAAATGAATAAATAAAAATAAATAAAGATTTAGGAACAAAGAAAGGAATTAGCCGGGAACGAGAAACGATTTAGTTCCTTTTTAACAAGATGAACATGAACGTGAACTAATTACTTTTTTAAAGGACTTTCCAAGCACTGTATTTCCAAGTACCAAGGTATATTATGTAACTATACATTTAAGTTATAATCTAATTAAATATGTATTAAACCGTTCAGTATTTTTAAGTAACAAATAACTGCAAAAGGTTAAATATTTCAATAACAGTGAATGTAATCACTTGTGATGTATTTCACGCAACACTTATACCCACCCACAATATCGATTTAGTCAAACACGGGTAGATGAAAATTCCCAAACTTAACCTTATTTATTTTTATTTATCTGGTTTACCTATTATAAAGAAAAGTACTGGAAATGTTCAATTTTTACCTCTTAAAAATACAAACTCGCTCTGCTCGGAATCTAAAATGATATTATTTGTTATGTGAAACACGATTATGATAAATAATTACAAAAGTGATAATATTTGTATGTTTTAGGTATTATAATATTATCATTCTGCGGACCTAAGCCTCCCAAGCTCCTTCCCTAGATACGCCTATGTACTCACTGAACTTTTCCAAAAACTGACAGAGTGTAAGGTAACCCTTTTGCTCGACATCCAATGTATCAAATACGATCTCCAATTGCTCCGGGGTCATTGAGAGCTCGTCTTTTAATTTCTAAATAAATAATTTATTTTAAGTTTTAACGAAACAAATAATAAAACTAGATAACTGATTAAATATATTACAGTGTTATTGTTATATCTTACACGAGTTAAACACTAAAAGTTTGTACTTTAGGCATATGCAGTTTACATCTCTGGTATAAAATGTAGCATTTAAGGTACAATCACAATATTGTATAGTTAATTATATAATTATAATCATTAATCAATATAAAATGTACTCTCCCCCTTTTTCCGGGTGACCTCTAGATCAGCTACTGGGTATCATTTAGTACTGGTATGAATAATACAGTTATTAGTGTGTTTAAGTACGCTCGTTCAATGGTTTTGTATAGGTACTAGGTATAGGAATAGGACTACAGTGACAAAGCACCATACAAGCAGCTATAATATATGCCGTTGGATCGTTTATTCAATTTTAAATGTTGTTAGTTGTACGCAACACTGTATAGGTGCCTACTGTGTAGTTCTATGAGAATTTATACATGCTTTTTTTTTCTTTAATATTTATTGTCTGTACGGCGTCGTAGCACACGTTATAATAGTATTATGTACTTCGTCATTGCCGTCGTATAATATGCATATTGCTTACCGTGCGGACAATAACTGTGTAGTTAGGACACAAATTACGATAATTATCCTCACTTGTTCGTTGTTTTATAATAATCGGGTGCATTATAAAAAAAATATAAATATAGGTACCTGTCTACCTATTCAGAATACGAAGCAGTAAAATAATTTGTTATGTGGCGCGTTATTGAGTCCGACGATGGACTGGTTTCGAGTTGTATGCGAGTATAGAGAATCAAATTTATAACGCCATACATTTCCCAGTAAACCATAACGTTTTATGTACGACAAAAATTCGATCATTGAAGAGTATATAAGATCTAAACACATATTTAATAATAATTAATATGCAGGTAATGAGTTTCATACGACAAAATAAATGTAATTAATTTTTTTTATAATATTATAATACTCTTGAATTGGGTCGTTAGTCGGACTCGGAATTATTGTCATTTATAATTTTTTTCCGATTCATATTATTTCCATTGCATGTAATGCGCGTGTACAATTTAATTTTCTCGTGCTTAATTTATACATACGATTAAGCCATTTTAAACAGTGTGTATACTATACAGTCGTATTATACCTATAGGCTATATTACAATAATAATGTGCAATACACATATGTTTTATAGTTTTTTATTGTGCTGTTTGTAAGAATATATTTTGTTCACGTTAAATTTTGGTATTAAACGGTTTCGAAGAATTCTATGGGAAACTTGGTTCGACAACATGAGTGTTTAAACAAGTGTTCGCCATTAATATAGGTGTAAAAATCGCTGGTGCGTATGCGGCAACTTTCAGCATAAACAATATTATATACATTACTTCCATAGTTTAAATGTAATTAATTTTCGCGATCGTATATAATATACTTTTTGATATTATTTTGAAAATGTTGTATGTGCCAACCTAATAAATTGATATAGGAAATTTACAACATGCCTTTACGATCCCATAATGAACGTGATTATAAAAAGTTTGACTAGATAATAATATAATATAATCCATACATTGCGTATGCGTTTCACTGTGGTCGGTGGGTGTTCGGTAATGTGGATTTGTCGTTATAGTTCAATATGTCTTAACTGTACTAGATTTTAAGCTTATTGTATTATTATTGAATATACTACGAGTGTAAGTATTTTAAGTACCTAGGCCGACTAAAGATAAATATATGTATACCTAAAATCAACACCTAGCTACACTTAAAATAAACGATATTCTTACTAGTATCACTAGTATTAACCATAAAATGGAGGTAAAAAATGAATGGGATTTAAAGTATAAGAGTTATTTTTTAAATCGTAACGTCACAATACTGTACATATTTTATATTATAATATATGTGGCCATGTGAGTGTATGGTGTATCACATTATGCCTCTCACTATACGTACTTATTCACCCATCACCGATGAAAACACAGAATTTGAATTTATTTTGAAATTAGTTTTTAAAAAGTATACCTACCAGGTTATGGCGTGTGCGTTTCTAGAGACTCGAAAAGGGCTAAAACGTCTAAAAAAACTAAAAAGTGCCAATTCGATCGCTGTAGTGTCTTGATCATATTATACTGTTTGTGACTTGATTGTAACTTTATAGTGACGATCGCGTCTGGTCGCTAACACTCGATTGATTTGCATGGCAATCACAATAGATTTTATTGTGCATGCACTCATCTTAAATCTCTCATGTTATCTGTCGATATACCATAGGAGCTTTATTCACGTGATTATTAATTATATAGGTAATAATGATAATGGATTAAACTTCAGTTGGTTGCTTAAATTAGAGCAGGGCATATATACACGGCAGTCTTCAGATAATAGCTATTTTTTTAAAATTATTTAATATGTTGTAATAATATCTATACTACAATACACGAGTGTTAAATGTGTATGGCATAAATGATTACAAGCTCAATTTCGGCTAAAACCAAAATCACCCGTCGTCTTTATATCATTCATATCTTTATATCATACGCTTGAAAATATAGAACGCTTGATTGCAGCGTCACAACAACATTATCTTTAATCAATACGTTTACACTAGACTCATAATTCTATTCTTAAACTAAAATATCTATTGGCTTACTTGCATGTCTCGTCTCACGATGAATCCCTTTCCCTCGGGATCGCCGAGCTGAAAGAGTTTGTGTCCGATGGCCTCCATGGCGGAGGCGGCAGTGTGGACGGTACTTTTTCAACAATATTCTTATCTCGGTGCGCGGCCACGACCCGGTGCCGTATGCCGAGCTCGCCGGTAGCAATAATGTACCGCGGTCGCAGTTGTCACCGAGTGGCGGGCGAGTGTGGGAAGAGGCGGCGCCCAAAGCTGCGTTCGTGCGCGGCAGTCCAAGGCCACAGGTCGTCGTCAAAAGCGGACCGGTGGGCGAATTTTCTCAAAGTTCCCACCGGATAGACGTTATTGCCGCCGCCGCCGACCCCTAAATAGACGATGCTATATAGCCGCGTTCCATACGATAGGTGTACTTATAAGTATATTATATATAGATATTACATAATAAATAATGATATTATTAATAATTGTTATTCATGATATATTATTATTTAAAGTATGCGGTATGACGTCGAAAATCAGTGAGGGTTTAGGTGATTTACAATTTTGTTGCGATTATGATAATATTGACAGTATATTATGTCGGCGTATACAGGATGTTTCTGAAGTGTGTGAGGTAATTAGTATACGCATACTCACTGTAATGCTACAATGAAGATTTTTTTGGAATTATTTTTCTAACTTCAAAATCTGGGTTTTTAAGTTATTTTTAGAATATTATCTTGAATGTAAAAATAAACACTCTAGTCGTATTTTTTGCAAAATTCTCATACGAATCGAGATATCGCATCATTTTTGCGCTTGTCGAGCGTTTTTCGCGCTCGAATCGCCAACTAAAAAAAAAGCCGTGCGACACATCGATTTGTATGAGAATACTGCAAGATAACCAGTGGTGTTAATTATTTGTTGTCATTGATAATACAAGATTAATTAACACATTGTTTTACATTGTCGACTAATAAAAAATATGAAATAATAACAAAATTAGGGTTAACAGAGTTTTAAACGATCAAATTTACTAGCATACATTTGTGTCATACCTTTATTAAAATAACTTTTAACTTTATAAAGTTATAATAGTTAGAGATAAAAAAAACTACCTATTCGTGTGTTTATACTGAAATTCCAGTTTTTGGATATCATAGTACCTAACATAATTATTTTGACTCGATAAGATAAACATTTTATTTTATACTATTATTGAACAAATTATTTACACAAATGTATGCTAGTAAATTTGATCGTTTAAAACTCTGTTAACCCTAATTTTGTTATTATTTCATATTTTTTATTAGTCGACAATGTAAAACAATGTGTTAATTAATCGTGTATTATCAATGACAACAAATAATTAACACCACTGGTTATCTTGCAGTATTCTCATACAAATCGATGTGTCGCACGGATTTTTTTTTAGTTGGCGATTCGAGCGCGAAAAACGCTCGACAAGCGCAAAAATGATGCGATATCTCGATTCGTATGAGAATTTTGCAAAAAATACGACTAGAGTGTTTATTTTTACATTCAAGATAATATTCTAAAAATAACTTAAAAAACCCAGATTTTGAGGTTAGAAAAAAAATTCCAAAAAAATCTTCATTGTGGCATCACAGTGAGTATGCGTATACTAATTACCTCACACACCTCAGAAACACCCTGTATATCCTACATCGAAGTCGTCATGGCACTCGATCAGAAATGCTCATCGACGAGTGTCTACCATCACCAAACATGTACTCGCGATCTATATTATGTAATATGTACTTTACCTATATTTCGTATTTCGCATAACATTATGCAACAATAATATTTTAATTTACCATATATATATCATATTATAGAGTGGTGGGTACGCGATAATTGTTAACGAGAGTAAAAAAAACAACAATAACAAATTAATAATACGCATAACAATGTGTTATGTAGGTGATAATATGATTGTTGTGTTATCTATCGCTTCGTGTATAGATTTTGCACAGAATAAATATATATATATACATCATAAATTAAGCTTTAAATCCGTGTATCGTACGGTATTTACTGCATGGAACTATTATTATTTATTTAAGTCATTACTTATGGCTACACACAGTTCCGCGGATTCAGTGTGACACGTCCCTGGTCGTGATTTGTCGGATTACAATTTTATAAAGTGGTAATTTATACTTTTTATTGTGAAAAATATTAAATTTCATTATAAACCAAAGAAAAAAATATATTATGATATAGAGTATAGACATTGTATATGTATTCTTAGGAAACAGTAAGTAAGTGCCACTTACCAGTACCTACTTTCTATACCTTGTTTTTGACTGTTGTCCGGTTTTATTATGTTTATAGAATTATATTCTGTAGAAGATGATAAGTGTTGACATCAAAGACAATAATAATAAATGTTATTGTTTTGTAATCGAATGTTTTAATCGTTGACATAATTATGGCTATTTGTTAAAAATGTATTATTGAGTAAACCAAATAAACATAAATGAGTTATGAGTAGCAGGTATTTAAATTTTAACAAGTATTTAATTTTATATGGTTTATAGGTAGGCGCAGATAGTAATGGCTAAAACAAAAATACATGTAAGTAGATCAGAGAAAAAAAAAGGAAAACAAAAACATTTTTGTTTTAAGATTTCTATAAATTACAAGTTATTATTGTAATTTATATTTAAATATGAAAACGTACCTATGTTAAATACTTAGTGGAATAATATAACACTGAATGATCACATTATTAGAAATACTTAATTATTTAATTTCACGTATTACTGATATTATTTCTTGACAATGAGTATAATGTAATTAATAATTATAAAGGAATATGTACGGCTCTTCTCCTGCAGCGATCTCGCTAAACATAAAAATAATAAATACCTAATAATACAAAAAGTAAAAATACCCGGAGAGTATCTCTGAGTAGGTATTTATAATGATGTATATAATAACTAAAATTAGAATTCAATGATAAATCATTGCATCCAATGAAATTTTCTATATGCAAACAAAACAATTTACAATTTTGACAATTTTTAAATTCTAACGATATTAGAAAAAAAATAATGTATTTTTATTTGCAGTAAAATTTAATTTGTGGGAAATCTTGAATTGATTTTTTACTCGCAAATAAAAATTAAATCATGCATAAATCGATTAAAAACTGAAAAAAGTCGAACATTTCAAATGTCTATAAATAATTCAAAAAGATCCAAAATATTTTTTATCATGTCTATAAGAACAATAATATATAAATATTTTGTACAAATTACAAGTCTCTTGGTTATAAGTTTGTAAATTAGGTACAATCAAAATAGAAAATCTTATTTAGATGAAAACTGGTTTTGGATAATTTTTTTGATTAGGTATCTTGTAAAGTACATTCTGAGAAATATCTACTTCAGATCTCCCCAAATACTAACTAAATCCAATTCACTACAGACAAGAATGATTGTGGAATTTTGTCTACTGTATAATTTATAATAAGTGTTTTCAGACACACACAAAAAAAATAAGTACATTCATCTAAAAATTAAAATTAATTAATTTCGTTTGTATTTGATACTTGTACTTATTTATAAACTAATATTTTCCTTATTATCTATGATGAATATAAAGTAAACAAATTAAAAATCACTTGTCAAGGTGACAAATAATCAACATAATATTATTTATCATGGTAAAATCATTTATTAGATTACAACTACTAGGTAAATACTAAATACCTAAATACCAAAGAGATGCTGTCATTAATTATTACGTTTTATACGATTTTGTCAGAGTGACTAAAGAAAACTTGTTATTCCAGAGTAAGTATTAAAGTTATTGAAACGAAAAATGTCAACTTAACTAATTCGAATTACACGATTTACAATTGGCGGTTAGTGGTTAACTGAGTAATCTATTTCATGTATAGGTTCACGATTGCAATTGGTTGAATACTTTAATAATCTACATAATAGTATATTAATACGCTATATTACTATTTACTATGTACGTAGTTCAAGTTGTCTGTTATTTGTTAATCTTTATTATTCAACTGTCGGTTGAATGCAATAAGCGTGTCTTAAAGTAGATAAAACACTTGCATAATGCATTCATTCCACTGTCGCCGGAATAGTATATCTATTTATGCAAATTTCCTAAAAATAGATCGTCCCTATTTTTTAAATTTTCTCTTAAATTGACATTGGCGTTGCTTTCGAGTGTACCGTGCCATGCCACTGCCATCCATTGCCTTCATATTGCCTTCCTATCCTTAGGATAGTTTGGACATTTTTTTAAGGTTATTTTTTTGTAGTTTGTGTTTGTGATCTAGTCGTCCGTCGGAGGTACATTATAGGTGTCTATTAAACCAACAGCATAATTTAATGTACATACAACTAATAGCACTTTTGAAGGAAAGAACTGCTAAGCCAGTGTAGTGGTGGGTATTATGTCTGGAGCAATGCTTACATTTTAATGCACGCATAGGAAAGAAAATAAAGCTATAGTACAAATGCCAGTGATCGAAATTAAAAATTTCCGAACCGTAACGTTACAGTTACGCCCAAATTTTGTAGTGGGTGAGGTCAATTAGAAAGAATTTGTTTTGCTCATTATAGCAAACATTTGTTTTAACGAAATATATTTGTAGATACTTTAACACTATTTATGTGCAATCAGTCAATGTGATTTTTATAGTTCCCAACTTGCAAACCAATGTAGAATTTATGATTTTTTTTTGTATACTTACTTATTTATTATATTAGCCTAATATTGACAACATTTTTATCTCAGAGGTCCGCAAACTTTTTGTTGCTTTACACTCACATGTATTACGAATCAATCGTGTACCTGCCACTAATGACTAAAAGTAGAACTATTCATAGTTGCAATACATTTATAACAATAATAATATACAAATACAATAACGTTGGTACATTTAACAGCAAATATTTAGTACCTATTTACACATAACATAAAATAATTTTAAATACGCTGAAAACATTAATTAAAATATGAATTTGTTAATTTTCCGTACAATTACCACACGGCCTTCAGAATTACCACCAGTGGTACGCATACCAAATTTTGATAAAGGCTGGTCTACCTTCATAAATAATATAACAAATTTTGTTATACAAATCATTATTTTTAAGATTGTAAAAGCAATGTTTACTTTTAAAACTGACATATAACTATAAACCAGATGGATAGTTGTGAGACCAAAAAAAAAATAATATATATATAAAATAAAGTCATATAATAATGCCTTATAAGATAAGATGTTATAAATTATAATAACACCCATAGTGCCTTGTATTATTAATTGAATATTTTGAATTGCTATTCGCAGTGTCATCAGTTGAATCCTAACCACAGACAAACATAATTTTCGGGATGAAATTATTATAAGTGGGTGGCTTAACATAATTTATGATTAAAAGTTAACAAATTGTATTCATAATTAATATAACTTTTATTCGTTGAATTTTATTCACATATAGGAACCTTTTGAAACGGTAATATAGAAGCAGTAGCTTTTTAAAGGGATTCTAAATCGTCACGTTTATTTTCACGATGTCAATTATATGAACCTACAATTATTATACCTACAAAAATAGAAAAAAAATCAAATATCCTAAAAATTTCTATTAAATTTGAAAATGTTGTGTGTGAAACAAAAAATAAATAACAATATTAAAATAATATTATATGGGTATTATAGGAATTGAGTATTTTTATAAACCATGTAAATAATATTTTTCACAAAATCTGTGTATGATGACAGGGGCTTGATTTCGGTGTTTTCATTGTTTTCAAAGTGAATCGGATGAAAATATTTAACTTTTAATAAAGGAAAGCATCAAATTTAAAACAAGAAAAATATCGTTGTATTTTCAAAAGTGTATAATAGGTAATTATAATTTATTTTGTCCCTCTCTTTATTCATACAAGTACACAACATTTTGATCGGCAATAAAGTAAATAATAAAAAAAATATACATGAATAGATTACGTCATTATAGTTGTTGGTATCATAATTCATAAACAAGTAGGTATCAATAGTAATAATAAAAATAATAATAATACAAATACAAATACAAATCAACAATATGTATGCAATATGCATCTCAATAAAATGCACAGTATAAAATCTCGGTTTTTTCAACATAATATCAAAACAAAACAATAAAAAAATATATGATGAATTTTTGGTTTTACACTCCCTACTGATCACACAGAAATAAATTCAAGTAACTCAAACGACATATTATGTCAGTCATACGTGCGTCATGCCGTTTCTGTGATCACATTTGACGAACCACTGAGCGTTCGGGTTCACTTGGTATACGGCCATCATGTTGGCGGTGGGTTCTATACGCCGCTGACCTGTAAGAAAACGTAAACAAATACACATAAGTACATTGTGTTGCCGCCATATAATTGGATAAGAATGGATGAAATAATGATATAATGATATGCAAGATGTCGATTGTTTCAAGTTCTGCCGAATTCGGTGATCAACGTAAAACCCCAGTTGAAAAATGTATAGTTTTATTGAACGTATTTTGAAGGTCAATTTCAGCCCGATAGTTTCCAAATTTTTAAGAAACTTTACAATTGTAAAATGCTATAGCTCTTTTTACTTGCAATAAATAGGTAGAGCACATTATCGTATATATGAAATTTAAATAATTGTATTATATTAAAATGTAGACAATTGATTAATTAATTCACATTTTATTTTTTTAACGCCAAAAATTATTTTTAACTTTAGAGTAAACCAAAAGTTATTCGAATTATTCGAATGTAATGAACTGTGGAAATGTTTGACTAGGCATTTTTAAAGTATACATTTATTATTTGAATAGGTACACAAAATCATAATAAAACTATATAGTTCGAAATAACTTTAAATTCCTTTAAAGTTATAAGTAAATGTACAAAATTGTTCCATCATATTGTCAATTAGAGAACTAAAACCTATAATTTTTTTTGAATTTGAGCAATTAAATGTCACGCCTTACCAATATTGCCACCAGTCTCATATAGGAAATGTGTCCGAGTGGCCATATCAGGATCAGCAGTTGTTAACAAGCACGACAAGTTTCCATTGGGAGCCAATTCAGTTAATGCCCTTGACTTGAGGTCCTTGCGGCCAGGTTTAGCCATGTGCCCGTTTTTTGTCACCGTTTGCTTAGCAGCTTCTTCCACAATCCTTCAAAAGCATATTAAATTAGTTATTAATATGCGTGACCAATAATATGTTAGGTATATTGCATCTGATATTTCTGATGATAAGATAATATTATCTGATGATAATACTATAATGATTTATAAAATATACTTACTTAAGTATTACGTCGCCGACTGTGGTGGAATCAGATAAGAACAATGGTATACCGGAAATCCGAAATTGAGGTGCATCAACGCGGACCACGCCGTCTTGGTAATCTACCTCGTTGTTGATCTTTTTGGTGACAATATCTGTTTTCTTTTTGCCAAGGAACCTTCTTACCTGAAATAAATAAAGATTATGAAAATAAAATAAAAATATGTAATTAATTAATAAAAATTAACGGTCATTCAGTAACTAAAGGACCATCTTTTAAGTGTTATTGATAACTAATAATAACACAAACAAAAAATGTGTAGAGAAATGTATTAATACTTACGGGGTTATTATTTTCTTTCAGTCTGCATTGGTAAAGTTCATTGTTGTGTCTAAGCTGAGTCATAAGGTCGGTAGGAACTAGGCATAACTCTTCGATGTGGTTCATTAGAGTTTCGGTTAGACGACAGCTACGGGCAGCCTGGTCCAGATGTGACTGCAAGTCTTTTTTCTCCAAATGCACGGACCTATTAAAAATAAAAAAATATGATTGTAATTTCCACATGTTTACACTTACGAATTTTGTTTCTTTTGTTTCTTACCTAGGTGGGAATAGCGACGGTGCAATGATCATGGCGACATTATGTTCGGTCATTTTATTTTCTAGGTCATGTCTTTGCTGATATTCGACCAGCTTAGACATGAACTGTAAAAGGGCACGTAATGTGGCCCTATTCTCTGTAGGTAACAGTAGCACCAATAGGTTTAGAGCCCTTACAGTGTCGGGTACAGCTGCAAGTTAAGAATAATATAATGGTTACTTAGGTATTCTTCTTATTAAGTTCAAAGGGCATACAATCGAGTATGAGTTACTAGATACTTACAGTAGCTCTGGTAGAACAAATTGACCAGCTCGTGGGTGAGCAATAACCCGGGCAAGTCTCTGAGCAAACGTTTCAGAAAAGCAACTAGATCATGTACGGAACATTTTTCCAACAGCTGATCAGTTTCTTCGTGCTTGGCATAGAAAAACTTTTCCACAGCACAACACAGTTTATCGACTTTCGCTTTAGGAGCTGCCATACGCAACAGGCCTTGCTCGCCCAATCCACGTTTCTCCAACTGTCCGAGAACCTTCTGGACAATCAAAGGTACTTGAACGCGACGGTTGGCGATAGCCTCATCGCGGTCGACTAGCGTTGACAACGAAACACCGAAAATTGTACCTTCTAATAGAACAATAACAGACAATGGTAATTGGTAATCAACTATAAAGAAACCTTTTACGTTTGTCTCCGTTTGTTTTAATTACCTTCTCTTCTTTTGCGTTTATGTGGTTTTCCTTTATGAAACGGTATACCAGCACTGTCAAACATGGAGGAAAGTTCAAGGAACAGTAGAGGGCGTAATTTTGCCAAATCTTCGTCGCTAAGAGAGTCCGGCCAAGTCCTTCCAGTGTTTTCGTCGACTGAAGAACAGGATCTCTGTGAATAAAGTTTAAAAAAAAACCATAATTTTAATATTAAATATTGTATTATTTATAAAATTATCATGATGCGTTATAGTTTCAAATGTAGTGTAACTATATACAATATATATATATATATATAATATCATTTATACACATACCTCCAATTGGTAATTATTATTTTGCCACATCTCTTCGAATCCCACGTATTGGGAACTATCTCGGTGATTATCGCTTGGCTCGTATAAACAACCGTGACTGCGGGTCAGGCTAGATTGAGGCACCACTAAATCCATGCTGCATAAACGCAAAAAGAAATCGAACGTTACGGTGGTTATATAAACAAAAAAAAAATGGGTTCATCATACTTAGGTGAACCGACGTGTTCGTCAGAAGAACTTGAGTACAAATGGAGTGGATCGCTACCACTACGGTTTCTGTCTTTGACCATAGGTAACGGCCGTTGTTCAAATTTGTAGCCACGTACGGTGCCAAGTCTTTGAAAACCAACCATTGTAATACCATCTGTAATGATAATAATCATTGTAAAAAATTTTCGAGTACTCAAAATATAATTAAATATTAATACATAGGTTAGAGCTATAATAAAATAGGTAAGTATGTATCTATACATAATATATTGTATAATGTATTTCGGTTTAGAAGTAAAAGCTAAATAAAAGTAGAAATAGAAAAGTAGAGAGATTTTAGTAATTGTCTTTAATAGCTGTAGTGGTTGACAAAATATAATCATACCATTATTTTCTTGAGATTTAAATCGAAGTTGTAACGTTGAAATTGCATGATTTAAGTAATAGTCATAATAGGCATAAAATTAGATGTTCCTAATAGTTAAAATCGTGAAATTATTATTACTAATAGTTGATTATAATAATTATAGTCATAGGGGAAATCGGCCGGTGATTATGTATTTATGCAACTACTGGCAGATTTGGATTTCTTAAAATTAGCCTTTTACCATATTAAATAAATGAATCCTAATAATATAAAAATAATATTCATACGGCAGACTTTTGGAGCTATAATAAGGTACTTAAAATATTTTTATTTTATAGTAATTATTTTTATTAAACTTATAAACAAAAACGCAGCGATATCAACAATATTGTATATAATTGTAATCATGGGCCATTATCTATATTGACAAAAAACACTGTTAATATAATGTTGAGATAAGTCTCAGGCAGGCACTTGTCCTCAAAGCTGGGCCCTAGCGTATAATGCATATGAAATATAAATAGTCGTTTTCGGATATTTTGGAGTTAGTTATTTGGTACCTATTTGAGTCTGAGAATCTTTACGTCTGTCGTAACAATAATTTGTTAATTAGCAATTAGTACCAAGAATAACTTAATCATTCCGTGGCAATTATTAGATAAACAATATTCAAGTGACATAATTGTTTGCACTATAGAACTGCATTTTTTTTCAACGAATATTCAACTGTTTAACTGTAATTTACAACAATAAAGTATTTGCTACTCTAATACGGTTTTTGGCTTTATGCATTGTTGCTATATACTCGAACGAGTGCCAGGCGGTAACAATGGTTAAAATTATTTTTTTATTTAGTAGACCAACATTCAAATTCTAATATATTAATAAAATATTTGTATTAATTGCACTTTTATTGTTATTAATTATTAATTGTTATAAGCATAATATGAATATGTTTTTATTATATTTAAAAATGTTCAAGATCAAGATTATTGTTTAACCTATTGGTATACACTATACGCTAATTCATAACGGAGAGTTGGCTTCCTGAATGTCTAGCACAATAATTGCTATTAAGACAACGAGAAAATACTCTTATATAAAATATAACGATAAGTGTTCTTATAATTTATCACTTCGACAATAACGTAACAGTCAAAATGTCAAATATATGATATACATTATACACACCACTTTCAGAAGCGACGATACCATTATTGCTTCGATTGCTCCTGCGGAATATGTCTCTTGACGGCAGAACTGGAGCACTAGGCATTCGGCGGACTTCCTTTTTTGAATATGCAACTCTCAGTTCGTGATTGGGATCCGTAAACCTGGAAAAATATTAAATTAATGTATTTATTGTGTTTAATAATCCTATGTGTTGTAGTAGGTGTTAGTATTATCGTATTTTAAATTGTTAAAATGACGTAGTCTGCTTATAAAATTATATCACGAGTAGAAAATATTGGTATCTAGGTAGGATAGGTAGGTACCTCTGTATACATTAAATATATGATGTATTTTAGAACAGCGAAATATTTGTATGTTGTGTCAATCGAAACGTACAATTATTTATAAGACTAGGATGCCATATTTTATTTTACAGGGACAAACATTTTTTGTACAATATTTATGGGAAAAGTCGCTCTACTCCTCCTCAGTAAAACACCGATTTTAACACACTATTTTTAGGTAACTAGAATACCACACAAAATGGTCATCAACGCATTCTACGACGTACGTTTGTGAAGCAAAAACGAACTCAACGTTGCAAATCGAATCGGAACGTACAACCGACAAATGTATCAATTATTAGTGTTGAGTGATAACAAAAATTGTCATGGGGGAACAGGAAAACAATGAAAACGTATTCATAAATTGTCGTCATCAAACATGGAAAATAATTTAAAAATAAATTTCGTCAGTCAATAAAATAATCAAGTTGATTATTTTATCAATCATCAAAATAATGCTTGAGTAATAAACAAAAAAAAAATGTTGACATAAATGATTATTGAAGTTTGATTCTGGGACAACACTGACCGCCCCGAAACGCTCTACCGGGACAACGGAACTCTTCAAAATAATACTCAAAACCATAACAGTTCCGGGCAAACCGGGACATAATATGGTAACCCTAATAAGTCCGCATAAGCGCTGACGCATGTAATACGTGTGAAGTAATAGATTCGTATCGACCGGTCAAACGTAATAAAAAAACAAGTCAATGTATATCCTTGTCAGCATCTTATTGTATTAGGTATTATATTAATACAGGATGATGAGCTCATGGTTTCAAGGCGGTATTATTAAACCGTCAGTTGGGCTCCCCGGGAAAACACATATAGGTATGTACGGTATAAACTTATATATTTTTAATTACCCGCAGTATCCTTGACCTATCGAGTGGTCTGGTATACTCTGGTTCATTAAATGGCATTCAAATAACATATTGATATTGTTATTATATCATAACATTGTAAAAGAATTAAAACCATGTATTGATACTTGATAGCCGGGTATCGAATAAACAGTTTCACTCTTTGCGTCTGCGTGAGCTTCGTTAAGTGAACATCTATACTACGTTGTACGTAGCTGATACATTCATTAAAAACGAAAACGTACTCACAGAAGAATTGTGTTGTGTGTTTGGTTGGTTTTTCGGGGAATAACTACATGCCATTAGATATCATACGAAAAACCTCCGTGTAACACACACACACACACACACACACACACACACACACACACACACACACACAACAAAATTCCACCGAAAATATAAAACCTATTGTAATAGTATATAATATTATAAATAAAAAAAATCGAGTTCGCTAAAACAAACGAAACAAAACGTGACTAGCTTTCGTTTTGCGGTGGTTAATTCATAAGCTATTGTTTGGTCGTGTCCGTGGCTTATTAATGCCAACCTTGACTGGTGGGAAAATTCAACGCGGAGAGTAAAAATAATAATAATAAATATAATATGTACTTATAACGCATGGACTACAGCGCGAGAGAGACCGTTTACGGGAGCGAGCGGGCGCTTAATTACGAGAGTGGAGAGAGCCTTGGAACGGCAGGAAACATTACAAATTGTACAAAAAATGATATATTATATTACATTATACTCGCCGACGAAAAAAAAACAGTTAAAATTACGCTAAGCAACAGTCGTTAATGCACACACTCCACAGAAGGAAGGAGATGGGGCGTAATAAATAACAACGGAAACCCGTGTATTCCGCGAAACGTATTATTATTATTATCATCAACGAAAGCGCATTAAAAAAATAGTCACATGCAAAAGCAAAAGTGCATTAGCCCGTCCGAAAGTATTTAAGTATTTTTACGTGAAAACATACGTTTTTCACGTCCACCAGTACCTACACAACGTTTGATTTAAATAGGTGATACTCTATAGTTAAAGTAATTTTTTTTATATATTCCAGTGATTTTTTTTTTAAAGTGTTAATTTTATGGAAGTCAGTAATAGTCGTTCTAAGTACATATATATTTCATTTCATTTTTACAAATTTATTTTATACATTTTTACTACCATGGTAATTTTATAGTTTTTTAAAGTTTAAATTTAAGCGTGTTTGAGTAAAAAACAAAAGTTACATAAGCCACTGATACAAATCAAATTGACCAACATTATTACGAAAACTAATGGACACCGATTTACCGTTGTGAATGAAAATGTATATAAGTAAATGAAATGGAGACATAATAATAGAAGTAGGACCTTCTAATATAATTTAGGAAATTATCTGCCTTTTGGAAAAACCAAATTTAAATTAAGGTGCAGGAGCAAGTCAGTATTTGCCACTCACACTGACCAAGCACCAATACATGAAGTATAATATACAATAATCTACACTACAAATTTGATATTTCAATGTGTACTCTGTATCTATTTATACAAATATGTCGATTGGTGTTAATGAAATAAAATAAAATATATTTTATATATTAATATATTATATACAGAGGTATGTTTAAATGCAATATAATGTAATAACATTATTCTGCATCACTGGTGGATATCCCCATATGATCATATCACTATAGGTTGTAATTTACATAGATGTTAATTAAGGGGAGTGGGCGAGGGCGTAGTCCCTCAAAATTCAAAATTTATAATCTGAACATGTAAACATTTATTTTTACTTTATAAATATAGGTATTATAGGTTTTAATGTACCTGGACAAATTAGATTTTAGGACCTATGTTAAATTTGTTTCAAAATGAAATAAGAAATATTTCTTGCAGAAATTCTTAGTAAACATTTAGTAACTAAATTTGAATTTAGTTTTGATGTAATATTTCTTTTTCCTCACTTTATAAAATAAACACGAAATTCAATATTTGAAATAGATATAATCAGTCGTTAAACCTCTACCAGATTTTTTGATGGATATATTATTAATTTATTATTATATTTGAGCTCATGACATTTATGAACGTACAAAGAAAAAATCGTTGATATTAACACCACGGTGTACAATTGCAGGGTAGTGGTGTGTTATACCTATACGCAAAGAAAAGCAGTTCGAACGAGCGGTGCAGCCTCGTATGAGGTCAACGCCAGTCACCGTCACTACATAAAGGATATAAGTACGTATATTATTATTTAGTTATTTATCGTTAGTCGACGTCCGCCGGTATATGTAATAGGTATAATAATGAGTAATAATAATAAACGCTAAGACAATAAATTGACCACGGTCAGCCACCTATCGCCCTCCTCGTGTACTCACTGTGGTTTATTATATTTTGGTATTCAAACGCATAAACAATAACGAAAAAAACAAACAAATTACTCCGGGTGCAGAATTTTTGATTTCGTGATTCTTTTAGGAAAGGGGACAGCTATCGTATCCTTCCATAATTGTCGTATATGTTGAATTAAAATGTATAACATCATGCTGAGAAAACTCTAAAAACTATTATTTTTAAATTTTGAAATCAAAAAATAGCTGAAGACCAACAAGGCCAATCCAGCATTAAAAACAAATGTAAAAATCCCAGAACCAGGAATTCTTCAATTTTTTGCGGAAAAAACGTGCAATATGATTTTAGTTATTGTACTGGGGAGAATAATTATTAAAAAACCTGGGAATTCATTCTAGTATACTCCAGCATCATATTTCGAGAGTTTCTCATCACAATAGGTTATAGTTATTGTTTATAGCTGCAGATATGTTAAATTTTAATTCTGAAATGTTTCTTAGTGGAAATGGTTTAACTTTTAAATGTTTGTAAGCCTTTATTTCTAAGGATATTTTATAAATTATTAATATTACGATTAGTAATATGGTAGCAACTAGCAACTTGAATTTGTACAAATTTTTGACAAAAACCCGTAAATAGGTTAATAGTTTAAATAGCTTAAAATGAGAAAAAATATTTTTAAAATAACATTGTGCATAGTAACATATAATATGTGTAGTTATGAAAACTGAAAAGTTTCAATTTCCGCAATAAAATTTCCCTGGTTATGTGCTATATTGTCGATCAGTAAATTATGAACGTTTCCGATGTTTATGTGTTGGAAACAAAACAACGACTTTTGAAGCAGAATCCGAAATCCTCTAGTATACCCCCAATTATCTTCAGGTAGAATATTTATTTATTTACTCTGGATAAAACGTATGGCCTCATGTGTAATGTGTACCTATGTTGGGTATGTATAATACACATTACATAATATGTCAGAAAGTTGAACGTTTAATCGCGGGTGTACATAAATTAACAGCAGATTTTTATACATATACTTAAATACTTTATACTATAAAGAATAAGCTTATACAAATATATTATACATCAGAATCAGATCATATTAAATCTTGGTATTAAAAGATTTTATTTACATATGTTTTTCACTTAATTTTGAATTTGAATACCAGCCTTGAGAAAAGTAAACATCAAATATTATAATTGTATATTTATTTCTGTATTCTCTGTTATAATATATTATGTATAATATGCTAAGGTGCGTAATGGTGGAATATTTTATTCGTATGACTGTTATAATGTACTATAAATTACAATTGAATAACAATGTTTTCTGGTGCTAAAATATTACTAACTATAAATTAAGCATCACATGACGCTAATATAATAGGCAATAGAAGTCGAAGTAAAAGAAAATGAAGGTCACTGCAGAGTGCAGAAGGAAAATTACTATAGGTTATAGGACTTCAACATTAAGGATTGACAACATTTCGCAGTGTTGCAAAATATATACGGGCGATTTAAAATAATCTAATTAATGTAGGTACTTAAATTTATATAAATACATAATTATAATAAATTGTGAAGTGTTTAATCGATTAACTTTTTACCGTATATATAATGTATTCAAGTTGTTATCTATACAGACGTACATCGTAAAAAGTTTTTTAAAAAAGCTATAAAAGATAATTACAGGTATCATGATGTTCATGCCATGATCCATTTCTTTTAATCGAGAACCTATCCTATTTGATTCAAATAATAACGCAAGATAGAAGATTATATAGATACTTATAATAAGATATCTGTTTACCCCACATACATATTATTGTTTGAAAATCTAATTTTTAAATAAAAATCAATCTTGTATAATGGTATATGAGTTAGTGTACAATCATAGTATTCTACTAAAGTTCTGAACATAACCTTCGACCTTGTATAAAAATTTAAAAATCAATAAATATTTTAAATTATTACCTTTTGGAATTTTAACGATGCTAGTGTATATAGGTTATACACTTATACGTTATTAGTTTATAACATTCATAAATACGAGAAAGAATTTTGATTAGGAAATAATGAACGCAGGATTACAAATTTAATGTAAATTGAATAGTTTAGTTGATTTCATTTTCACCATAATAATAATATGAGGACTGTAGAGTTACATTTTTTATTTTCTAACCATTTTGAAGTGAACACTATAAGAATATTTGTGAATCTTTGCTGTTATTATGTTATTAATAAACGTGTTATGCTTTTTTAAATGTTAAATGGAATTATTTAACGAACATTTTTAAATTGCAAATGAAAATTTTGCTATGAAATAAGTGCAAACAAAATAAACTTTACATCTCAATGTATTTTGTGTGTGACCCCGTAGCTATTGGTGATTTTATGGGAATCGATCATTATTTAATTTTATTTTCGACGAGCATTAACACGAGTGTGCTCCGATTGTGCTGTGCACCAGTATATATCCTAGGTATGGTATTCCAATTCCGCCGACAGTTCACCGGCGACTATACTGTTGTAAAATAAAATGATGCATAATCAGTATACAGCAAAATAGTTGTTGTAAATGATATAATATTATTGTCCCTCTTTTGCAAACCACAATTATGCCATAATTGTATTCGGTCATATTATATTATGTTACACTGTTCTAGCATATTATGTGCACGGTATACCTGTACAATGACATGACGTGACTGACACGCGGTTATTGTGCTTATACAAGTCTGCAAAGCCGAATAGTCAAAGTGAATTAAAACGAGTGGGGGTTGAATACATAATAATATGTATATTATTATACGTATGACATTTGAGTATAAAGAATTTCACTCGAAGTGTCAATTTTCATACTACATTTGCTACTTTGCAACTTGAACAAATTAATATTATACATTTATACATAGAACATTTAAAACAAATGTTTCGGTTGATAAGTTGGTGCCAAAGGTATATTATAATGAAGATTATTAAAATAATGTGAATAAGTCTGTAGCTACCATGAAATTATAAAGTATTATACATAAATAACAATAACTGCACATTATCGCCATTCATAATTATCAAAATAATTTTAATTTGGGTTCGTAATTTGAAATCAACTACCTACCACCGATATAACTTTAATGTACGCCAACGGTAATTATTGTCAAATCTCAAAGAATAATATGTAAAAATAATACGAATTTTGTAAATTATATATTAAAAAAAATTTAACACAAGAACCCACAAATGTCTATACAATTTGTATGTGTTCGGTGTTATCCGGCTCGCTCTGAGAGCTTTTCGTTTATCTATATTCTATAGAGACACTAGACACAGGTAGGTAAAATTGAAGATACTGCTGGTGTATACGGTGCGTAGTGGACATTTCATAACAATAAAAACGACACATCTTTAGCTCTTCTTTGTGAAGCGTGCCAAGGGAAACACACGCAGTCTCTGCGATGTAACATATGGGTAAAAGAATATATAGGTTCATCATCGGTTACTACTTGAGTGTTATTCCTGTGACCTGCGCCCAGACTATACCGGCACCGGTTTGAAACTTTGATGATATTATGATAATATTATTTTCTCATTCAGTCGTGTTCTATTATTATTTGCACGATATATATATGTAGGTGATATTATTAATATTTATTATTGCGTCGGATTGCACTTGCTGTATCAAAATCGGATTAACAAAAATAAACTTCCGTTGTCGGACAATTCAAGAAAACCCAACGAAATTTGGTCCACAGGATATATCATATTGTTGTAGACCTAAATCGAAAATAAAACGATTCGCCATTTTTTCTAGTTTAGACGAAATGTCGGCAATATTGTTGTAATGTGCCCACTACCCAGTACATAATGTATATGATACGATACAAACACAACATATTATTAATTTACAGTTATTATAAAATGTTTTTGTAAGAACCACACATATATACAATTATGTTTTGAATTTGATTTGGGGAACTTGGGATATTTTTCAAAGTACCAATTGGACATTGTACAATTATAAAGCCATACATAGGTAGGTCGATTGTACAAAGTATAAAGTATATATTATATTGTATAGAGCTCACTGAGTATTTACTATTTTTATTGGCCTATTTATTTTATTTTTTTTTTAGAGAGACAATAATTACAAAGTAGTTACCAGTTATCGCTTCACTCAACATCTAAGATCAAATTACGTTTTACTAAAGACAATAAAAATCGTATTACACATGTTCAAAGCTATTAAATATTAGGTATTTATATATTGTGGAAAAAATAAGTCTATATCTTCAACCTATACGCAGTTTGTAATTAATTCAAGCATTCCCATCTGTGATGCTCGAAATTTAATTTTTTTAATACTTATATCGGTCCAAGATTAGGCATATGTTATGATTTATGAATATTAATTTTTGTCCAAAACGTTTAACGGTTAACCGCATATGCGCTATAATTATTTTTTGACTGCACACACATTCTCTATATATGCAACGAATATTCTAGTGCATAATATACAGCAAACCCAACCTTAGGCTAGAAATATAATTAACTCGTATGCAATAAATTATTAAATGTACCGTGCAGTACAGATTGGTAATTAAATATTTAAGTCAAAATGAAATATATAAAGCATTGGGTAGAACTATGTGAGCAAACGATATAAACGATTGATATGCATAACATATCGTTGAAAATTTACCGTTTAGAGGTGGGAGTTTTTTTGATATCTATATAGACATATTATAGTTGTATCTAATGTACCTACCTATATTATAATACAATATTATATAGCCATAAGCCATAGGTGGTCGTAATAAAATCTTTAACTCGAAATAATCGTAGTCCAGCGAATCCGATACGAATTAAGAAGATTGTTCGGACACGTTTTCATATGTGAAGTACAAAAACTTGTGTTAATAAAATATAACAACTGAATTTAAAGTACTGCAGTAATGTACTAATGTGTAGTACCCATACACAGTTGTACACATGAAACACGGACTAAGAAACTATAGAAGTTGATTGATTGTATAGGTAGGTACATATAAAACTTAAATCCGTACGATATTGTTCAATAATAATTTTACGGAGCAGGAACAATATGAATCAATAAATAAATAAATATGTATTATATTTTCATACATAGATTATTACTATATATGGATCTAAAGGCTTGTTTGTCAACAATCGTTTAAATTAATTTATTTAAGCGTATTAATCTATTTCGTTTTTATTGTGTGTGATTAATGACTCGCGAACACAAAGAAAACGATTACAAATCATTTTGAAACCGTATTAGCATAATATAATATTATATAATGGACATATAATCGATTAATGAAACTATGTGCGTTTAAAGATAATATAAATGGGTATAATTAATTTTGTGTTAATGATTTCTGTTTTCATTAGATACCACTTGTTTCGCATATTTCTACCTATATTGTTGTCCAACAATAAGTAATTAATTCCGCTGTAAAGTTATTTTACCTATGTATACATTTTTTTTTATTGCTTTTTAACAATCTATGGTTACACTATAACTACTGTTTGTTTTCTACGCGTTTTTATGTTCGTAAAGCGTTGTACAATTTCTTGCGATTCTCGTGCGAGGTCGGTAACCCAAAAACGAAAATTTGACTACTCACTTGGGTAATGGTGTAGGTATTGCTATTTCTGTTTGAGACCATGACATAGGTGGACTATTCGAATCTGAATCCGGTGTTGCACTTCTCGATCTGGAGCTGGAACTCAAACTCTGAAATAATGGACAACACATGTCAGACACTTTAATTCTAGTTGTAAATATAAGAAAGACTAACGAATATTGCTCGAAAATAATTCAGTCTAACAAACTGCAACATGATATTATTATTCTCGTCCATGAACTATAGGTTCTACACAAATTAATTGATCAAAAAAACACTGTAAATATTATCACATGCGTGTATACTGTTAGTGCCTAGGAATTTTATCACAATTATAGGCAACGCAAGGTATGAATTACAATCACAAAAAAAAAAAAATAGTAAATAATTCGATAAACAGTCTCTGATGACAAAAATATATTATTTAATCGTCTAATGATCTGATGTAAAATCGGCACATAACCATAGATAATGTAACGGATAGAAAACATATAGATAGGTACTAATTAAAACCCAAATATAGTATAGAAATCTATGATTAAAACCAAACGCTCGAAAAGCCCCGTGGATATTATAGTGGTAACTGTGGTTAAATCACAGATTTATAACTATATACCATATATGTATAATTATATCTTTGTAGGTTAAATGTAATATCAAAAAGAGTGATGAATTGCCATAGACATAAAGGTGTTATCCATAGACTATAGATTGATATTAATCAAAATCATACGCTCAATGTATCCCTCTAAATTTTAATTTTAAATTAATTTCTTATATTAATTTGAATTTAAAAGCAAAAGACTGATCACTGGCTGTCGTTATACTATTGTATACAATGTTTATTTATAAATTTATAAGACATTCATAATTTATATTAAATTATTGATTGAAAATGACTTAGAAAAAATAATTATTAATTGATATACCCACATATAATGTATATTATATTGCATATAATTTTTAAGCTTTTGTTCATTTTATCATTCTTTTTATCTATTAACCATGTGTTTATCAAATATTTTCATATTGAATACCTGCATAATATAACCAAAATGTTATTAACTATGAATCTCTTGGGGCACACTACCCATATGATTACCAAAATACTAACATACCTACTATACGTCTTATTCTTTATGTAGGTAGGTATTTTACATTTATCTACTCACAAGACGTGCGAATGCGCTTTTATTACGCATTTAAAGCCGTAGCACAATTTTATTATCATTTGCGAATACCTTCCACTTGCGTTATAATAAATATTATTAGTATTTATTACCAACTACGTTCGATGAATATTAAAGATGGACCTTGTAATCAGTAATAACCAGGACAAACATCCACAGATGTATAAAAATATAACATAACAACTTGATGCACATCATACATAAGTACATAGCATAAAATGTTATTGTGTAGACGCATATATAATTATTTGAAATCAACTGCAAAATGTTTCATTAGATTATTTTTTTAGACTCACATCGTAAACATAAAATACACATTGTCTAATGTGTATAAATAAATGTAGAGATATAGAAATTAGAAATATAACATGTGAAATAATGATATTATGCTTTTAGGAATTAAATACTATCATTGTCATTATAATTGTATTCTCTGTATTGTAGTCTAAACGGAATTATCAAATTTCCAGAATTTCTTTAATCCGTTAGTCATGATAATAGAATATCAGGCACCGGCATTTTATGTAATAATATAATATATTATCAAATAATTTACGGATCACATAGGAACTTAGTAATAATAATGGATAACCTGATGTCGTTAAAAAAATCATAAATTAGTGTTAAAGTATACCTACTGTAATACCTAGAAGCTCTGCACATAAAAATGTAATATATTATATGGTAAATCCGGCAACTATAACCAACAACGAATATGGTGCTCTTTGTGTCTTTCATAATATATACATTATATCCATTTGTAATACTTTTAATCGCCTAAAAAATGTCTGACGATTAGTATAAGATTGATGAGTTCTAGCAGTGGGTAGTAACTAGTAGGTATTCGAGTATTTCGTATTCAATATTCCCAGACTATTTTTGTACATCGATAAAAATATGATAACGACAGCTTTTAGTTAAAAAAACATTAATAACTATTTCTAGCTCCAAATTATTTATAACACTAATAATGTAAAATATCTGCTACGTATACATCCCCTATAGTTTTCTACATCAAATACTCAAACTTACTTCAAAGTCGCGGAAAACGTCTCTGATGTCAGGTTTTTTGTGACTTGCTTTTAACTGTCTGCCCCTTTGTCGAACCGTATGGTTGAGTGAATGTACTCTCAACCTGACGGCATCTGCTTGTCTGGTGGAGAGATGTCTGATCGCTGGTTCAAGTTCCGAATCCGGAACTTCGCATCCGTTCTCGAACGATTCAGTCAGGAACGACAGACCAGCGGATGACAGCCAATCGGCTTCCACTGCGCCTTCCGGTAAATGAGTGACGGCGAACTCTTGTTCTGGTGGACATTCTTCGTCCAGGTAACTATCAAGTTGTCTTGTTTCCTGGATGATCTTATACTCATTCCAATAGTCCTCGAAGTCTTGACTTACGTCAGTCTCCATAACCTACAAAACAATTAAACAATTTTATTAGTATTTTAAGCACACATATTAATATATATATATAGCATAAATATTATAGTTACATTATACTATAATACATTTGTGGTTATCATGTATGAATATATATTATAATTAATATTTAATATAATATAATGATTTTTAATTTGTACCTCATCGGCGTGAGGTGTGTTTAACTTTCAAATCTTTATACAAGGTGATTCATTAAGTGTATCCGTTGTTTTATGGTTTTACGGACTTTCTATTACAGTATGCATTACTCCACCACAAACCAAATCAGACATTCTTAATGAATCACCCTGTGTGTTTAAATAGAGTTTAAACTTAGTTAATTTCCATTTAAATATTATACCATACTGAAGGAGTTACTAAGAATTAAGATATCTTATTATAAATGTCAGAAAATCAAATTGAGTTTTTAGAAAAGTCGAACATGTCATAAAATCGTATATCCTTGTGTGATAACTTTTATTTATTTTTAAATTAATGATAATTATAATAAATTATATCTTATCCTAGGGCGGAATCTGGTTTTAAGTTGTACAGCAAAATAATTAACATACATTATATAGAAATATTCATCTCTTGTATTTTATTTACATCAATTAAAACACTTTTTAAAGGTTTTATCCCTAGATATTTTAATAAGTTACAGTTTTATTTTTTAATAGTTGAACTATAAATTTAATTAAAATACAATATGGTTTTATCTTGAAATGTTTAATGTAGTTCAAATAATTTAACTAAGATTATTTACAAGATTTTATATATTTTTTAAGATTACAATTATCGACTTTAAAATCTTCAAATAAAAATTAAGAATCATAACTATTTAAAAAAATATATTAGACAATATTTAATTGTGAACAGTTTGTACCTAAAACATAATTTACAAAACCACAGGGCTTTCAGACAGGCTGAGAAAGTTGCCAAACTTGTATGGCTGCATGTTACAAATGGCTTTAAGTTCATATCAGATAACCCATATTCTCCCATATTCTTGTTATGTTTCTACGTTAGTTGAAAATATATTAGTTGAATTAAACAATTTTCTTTTGATATTTATTACACTCATTCATCTCTTAACTCTCCATCATATCATCAATAATTAATGAAGAGAAACATTTATCAATGTATAACTTATCTACTGAAACATTAGAGGCGGTACGGTGTATTATCCAGCCATTGGAAATCATCTGAGTTTTATGTTGGAATTTCAACATTGATAAAATATTAGAAAAATCGATTGATTTACTCTGCAAGATAGTGGAACCATTTAATAGCGCGTAACCCACAGACTTTCAGCGATCACGAAAAAGCTGTGCATTCATCTACCGGGCACGTTTGATGGATGTCGTATGATGGTGAAAATGTCAGTAAAACCCACCTTCAACGACTTGACTTATTTGATAACTATATAATGATAATTATGCGGTTCCCGGTGACAGCGCGTAACCTAACCCATCTGCAGCTGTAGCAATGCAATTCTCAGCGTGAAAAGTATATACGTTCTGCTAAATGGATTCGTTCACAGAGTGTGTATGCAAATATCATATGAAGCCGAGGGAAGCCCTTCGAGTAGTTTTAACAAACGTACCAAACTAATTATCATACAAGTGTTATATACCTAACTCAATATATACTCATATTCACGTGTATCTTTTGCCAGCATGCGAATATAAATCATGGGTACCGTCATTACACGCGAGTCGTGTATACACACAGTGTGTAATGTATACTTACAGGGCGATTATTTTATCCTGAACCAGGAAAATACATGATTAATACAAATTTTAAATATTACTTGTGTTTATAAATAGGTTTGATAACCTATTTGGGCGCTTTAAATGAAATAAAAAACGTGATTTAAAAATGCCTTGTATTTCCCAAGGCTTAGTATAGCTTGGTTCACGATAAATAGTGATCATCCCGTTTGTACGATGAAGTTATTAGTACTTTATTGACGAGTGTATTATATACTACATAGTCTACAGTATACGTTCGGCTAACCCGAGGGCAGAGACGATTGCGTTCCGCAAAGTAACCTAGCCGAGGGAACATCTACCGCGGTATGATTATGACAACCACGGCGGGAGGCACACAATTTTATTTTAATCGTACCTACCTATATTGATCATTATTACATACCATCGCTGTATATGGGCCGTATGACATATTCGCACATGTAATTACTCATTACCGGGGGTTTGTTGATCCCTGGTACGCTATACATAATTATATTATACATTATGTGTGGTGCTTATTATATTATAATAATATAGTCATCGTCAATCGGCGCACAACGAGGTGCCCATACTGCGCGAAAAAATTGAATTCCTATCGAATTTCCCTCGAGGGGGCGGCTGATTATGTGCGCACAATACGAATTCGGTGCAGTACAAACGCATTGCGATACGATGGCCAGGAAACCCCGGAATTGTTCGTTGGTTTCTCGTGTGGATGATAATATATTGTCTTAGTAACGGCCGCGAACGAGTAGATTGATCGTATTTGTGAAATGTATTGTTACTGTTTAGGTGCTTGCTTGAGGCATTATCGTAGGTACTATTTATACTGTTACACTATAATGCGTCATCGCCTAACCACCTTATTATAGTTCGAATTATAAAAATGTAATTTTCCTAGTTCGTTCGTTGAGTTCAAAACACAATACTATTAATTATTATATAATATTAGGTATAAAATAAAACTATACGATTTCATGGTATCACTACTCACGCAGAAAAAATGTTTAAAAATGAGATATGTACGCGTGAGTTAGACTATACTGAACGTGTATTATATATTTGAAATGTATTCATTATAATAAATCATTGTAAACGTTTTAGAGTGGAGTTTTATTCACCGCAAAATGGTCAAGATGTCATTAGACTTCAAACTATTGTGTGTAAGTCTCTTCACCAATTTGTTCCAAATTTTTCAGCCTGTTTATAACTAAGTTCCTATTAAAATGTACATAACTTAAGTACCTACACCTCTTGTATTAAATTTACAATTGACTACTCAGCTATATAAAAAATACTTAACTACACATTTTACTGTCCAAAAAAGAGTTTCATATAACTTTATCAAATCACGTCAGTCTAGACCTTTATTTTAATTCAGTTGTATATGCATAATTTATAGATAATTGGACGTTCAGTTATGTCATAATAAGCGATTTTTTAAAAAGTATATATTTTTTACGGTCAGGCATACTAAACTGATGTTTTTGGAATATTTTACTCAATAAATGTGATTTTTTATACAATATGTTGAATTATTGATAACTCTTGTCACATTTATATAATATTTTATAAGTGATTAAGTGAATTGTTATAAGTTGTAAGCGGTGAACTTTCCTTAATAATAATTATTTGTTAATATTTAATTTTCTTTCTGAGTTTGTTAAATGTACACTTTAATTAAAACTATTTTCATTAGACATCATTAATATCAACACGATTAATACAGAACTAATGACTACATTAAACTTGTAAATTCCATAGTTATACGTAGAACGCTGCATTATAGATACCTACATCGGGAGTGGTGACTGGGGAGGTATACATACGTACAACTACTTTCAAATTGATCATTATATTGTTTTTTCTTTGGGGTTATATTTTCACAATCCGAAGTATAATAAGAAAGTTATAAACACTTAATGTAAAAATAATTACTTAAATTATTTTACGCGGTTTTAATAGAAAATTGGTTTCTGCAATATGTATTCTATATTGGTAGTGTACTTAGATTTTTTTTTGAAAATCTATTTTTATAGCCAATGGGAAATTAAAAAAGAATATATTTGGTACAAAAATTATAGAAGTGATAAGTGATGTGACTATCACTTATAATAACTTTTTTTAATAACATGAATACTAATATATTAAGCAACCATTATAATGTATTTAATTGCTATTTTTTTTTTTAACTCAAACCTCAATTACTTAAGTAATAAATTCGATTCGTTGAGTAAAAGAAATGTATGAGTATACCAGTATTTTCAAACCCTATTTAAACATTTTATACAGGAATTATTTAAGATTTAATAACTACATTACAACAGAGTATCATACACAACACTAACTAGGTACCCATATTAAACGACTGAATTATTAAATACATCTTTGATGATAAAAAATGTACAAAGGTACATCATCATTATGTCAGAGTCACGTATAAATTATCCCGTCCTTCACCCTTAGACCAATAATTGGATCGTTATAATTTATAATTCTTGCGTCAGCCATGTATGTTTACTGTCTAATCCACCTCACAGCACGTAGGGATAATAAGACCTGCTGTAGGTTTAGCCAAAAGCGTATACACTATACATAGGGTTTCATCTTTCATTATATGTTTTTTTTTTATGAAACCTATACAAAAAGAAAATAATAATATACTAAACGTCTATATAATTGTAGCAGTCACTTAACCTTTATTATTATTTTAGTCTATATACCCTAAAGATGCTTGTTGTGTGAACTAAAAAATACTTTTTGTTTGCCAAGAAAATATAATTTAAAAAGATACAACTCAATAGGTAACAACTGTAAGAAGAACTGGTACATAGTTATAGGCATAAGTCACATAAATCTGAACTTTATAGTTTTCAAACAATAATAATTTATAAAAATGCAATTATTCAGAAAATAAAACGTTCTTAGTATAGACCAAGGCAATTACAATATTAGTTAGGTATCTATAATAATGTAAGTATGTAGTAGTTCAAGTATAATTAATAAAAAAACTGGGGAAATCATTCTGCTGTATAGTAGCTATTTTCTAGTATACTTTGTCAGTGTAGGTAGGTCACTGTAATGGATGTGTTCAATTAGAATTCAATGATAAATCATTGCACGCGTAAAATATTTCTGAACGGAAACGGTGTGTCAGTCTCTATTTTTAAGGATGTTATATAATATATTAATATTAATATAAGTAATTTATTTTTTGTGTTAGTAATACAAAGTTAAATT